ATCCTTCTCTTCAGAAAATGGGAGTTTGGGTGATTTCTCCAAAAAAAACAGTGGGCGGAAAGAATAGGGATCAACCTTGAAGGTCCTTACGGTTTCTTCCAAACCAAAGCCAGGTGATTTGGCCGCCGTCTTCGCATGTTAAAGTCACTCCATTGGGTAAGCCGCCCAAAGCCCCACAACAAGCCTCAAAAATATACAAGCTATAATCATATCGTTTCTTCAGGGCACGTACTACCTGTTTGAGGGTTGGTTTAAAGGCAAGCCAGCCACGGATTCCCTTCTTCCTGACGACATCATACAGAGTTTGGATTTCGGGCTGCACAATTCAAACCACATGAGACCTAGAACAGAAACAACACGCACGCCCGATGCGCGAACCTGCACGCAGCCTGCAATCTGCCGAACATTTCAATACACATCTGACATGCTCAGGCAAATCGCAAGGTTGGCTAAACTGCTCAGCAAAACACCGCATTGATTTGGGTAGTCAAAGATTCTGCGGGAACACTTGACCGCTCACACAGACTCACCAGAGAGCTGCATAGCTCCGGACACACTGGTGAGTGCCGTCGATAGTGATTTCATGCTGGCCTTGTCAAGCTCCTCTGATGTGAAGTTGCGCCCCATGCTTCGATTTGCCATGTGTCCTGCACCGCTTCGGCCACCTGTTTTAAGTTCTTGTCGGGGACTGCTTGCAGGACCCAACCTTTTGCACCATCAGTGTGCTAGTTTCGTGTGAACTGTGTCTTTGTCAAACGAGGCGGGCGCATTTTGCCCCGAGATCTGGCTCTGCCTGGCTTAGTCGATAGGTCTAGGTGCTTATCCCAGAACCTTTCGGAAGCCAAAGTCACCACTCCCCAACCCATCTCCGGCCAACTAACTGAGTGTGGCTGACTGAAAGGAAGGATCCCACGCGAGGGCTGAAATGATATGGGATGGTGACGATATGTCTCTACACCCTTCCCAGGCCCGTGCCATCGACTCTCCACCGTTTTTCCCCGAGCGATTTTGAGTGACCTGACCGACCCGAGGGTCCTGGAAAACCACGCCGGGTCTCAGCATCTGGTGGATCTCTTTCCGCAGCTCCAGGAGGAACTTGTAGGTCTGAAAGCGATGCTTTTCCGTGGAAGCCCCGCACGAACGAGGGGAAAAAGGTGTTGGATCGTGAAAAAAAAAAATGAAGCCATTTTTTCGGTTTTTCCCCTTTTTTTTGTGGGGGAGGTGTTTTTGTCGCTCAGAAAGCGAAGGTATCCATTGCAAAGACGAAAGCAAGTCACCATGCACATTCACAAGTCTGCCCGAAACCGGCCGCAAATCAAAAGACCAGGGCCCAGCTTTGATGCCGGGCAAACGTCGCAAGCATCCAATGTGTCCGCAGTACAGCACCTGAAGGAAATAGGGTCCCAGAACCCAAATTGGCTGAAGCATGCCTATTAGCCCTCCTGGATCCCTCTCAAACTACGAGAGTAAAGCAAGCAAGCAAGCAAGCAAGCAGGCCAGCCAGCCAGCCAGCCAGCAAGCAAGCAGGCCAGCCAGCCAGCCAGCCAGCAAGCAAGCAAGAATGCATGCGAGCAAGTAAGCAACCATGCACAAATCAAACAGCCGATCAAACAGCTGCACACTACCAGCCAATACCAGTCTCCCTCAAAAACCATTGAGGACAATCAAACAACTCATGCTGAGCAAATGGGTGCTTCCTAACATGACGACTGTTCGCTAATTGTGGATGGCCCGAAAAAAACGAGAACAAAAAAAAGGAAAGGGTTGGGCCCTGTGTTTGGACACTTGTTTCGTTGGATTTGCCTTCCTTGAACACCGCAGACGGCCCAATCCATCTCGCCGATTGACGCCCAGGACCTCGCCTGCTGCCAGTCCACCTCTGGCGAAAACAAGTAGGTCCTGACCGGATGCAGCGAACTGGCCGGGCGTGTGTCTGGGTTGTCCAAGGGGACTCCCCGCTAAATGGACTCAACTTTTAGTGGGTTAAATGGAAATCCAACCACTAGACACTAAAACACTAAAAAAGCTATTGGATGGCTGGTCACAGCTGGGAGCCAAGTTTGTTGAGGCTGGCCTCCCTTAAGGTTGGCTTACAGGGACCCATTTTTGGGGGCACCCCTTGACAATGCCTACTCGCTGAATCTCATTTTGGGGAAGACCGCTTTTGGGGTAAACGGTAAAACCGTTTACCCAGTTACCCGCTAACAAAGGAATCCCCAACCCTAAGAACACAAACTCATGGGTATGCGTGAGCTCATTTTACTCCCTGGTGAGCTCGCAATAATTTGACCAAATGTTTCACTGAGCCAAAAAGTAGATGCCACAATGGTTCTATGTTGGTTTTGAAATCTCCTTTACCCACATCCAGGGAATGGTCCGATCAACTTATCTCCAACTTCAAACTCTGCGCCTGCAAACATCTGGTCATGGTTTGTGGGGACCCCAATAACTTTTGGTTTCCTTTGGGCTTGCCTTGAAAACCAAAAAGGCGGTAGCCTCAGCAAAGGGCAGACCCATGCCACCCCGCACAGGTGGGGGTTCCCCTCAAGCAGAGTTTTGTTTGACCAGACCCATTCCGATCCAAAACCACCAACCCAAACCTTTTGTGACCTCAAAACTGGGCCGTTTGACGTTCCCTCACCTCTGAAGATCCCTTTCCAATGGAGGGTCCTTAAAAACCTCCACAACCTCCCAACATCCTCCAAACTTCCCTCAGTTGCCCAAAGGACCTGGGAACAAAAGGTTAACCTTTACCAAAACTGGACCAAACCGGGGAAACCCAAAGGTCAAAAGGTCGATTCGCTTTCGACTCGAGTCCCTATGAACGTGGCAGCGGCATTCATAGCCCACGACACTTCTCCTGGCCACTGCCGCCATGTACTCCGCGCACCGGGCTGTGACGGCGAAGAGGTGGACGGTGCGCGGCGCCCTGCGCGGGGGTTTCCCAATGGAAGGGAGCCGAGGAGTGGAAATCGCTCGTCTATATATATATATATATGTTAGGTGTCTCAACAAAATTGGAGGGTGCCCCATTTTTTGGGGCGGTGAACAGGGAGAAACACCATCATTCGGGCAGGCCCCCTGAAAAGGCTCTCCCATGTGTTGTTGCTGTCCTGACCCTAATCAGCTTTCAGAGCAATTCAAGCGATCTTCCGAGGGGCGACGTTAGTGCTGCACTGACTTGCAGTCGGACCCCCTACTGTCAGGTGATTCATGACTGGGTAGGAAACAAGTACTTGTGTGGAAACTATCCAGCGTGTCTTGCCGTAAGTATAGGCTCAACCCTGCAGGAAGAGCGGGTTTACCTCTCCCTCATATAGTTATTCCCTTTTCAGAAAACGCCACGAAGGGAATTCAACAATCCTACCATGCCCACATGTTCAGCAAATCGAGAACAAACACACTGGCGCGGATGCCAAGAAACATGTGTGTGTGGTGGAACAAGATGCCCCTACAACCCTACAATGGTTAGATTACTCTAGCTTACATCCCACAGGGGGTTGCTGGTCATGCCACACCCAGCCCAGGAGCAACGTGCAAAATTACTCCTTTCCCCGAGCTTCTGCCTGGGCTTTGCGGGACTTTTGTTTGTCACCGAACCTCCGCCGCATCTGCCGATCGGTGTCTTTTTGGGCCCACTGCGAGCACATGTCATGGACATCCGGGAAACTCTGCAGCTCAGCTTGGATTCATGGGGATGGGGGATGTCTCAAGGGGAAACAGCTAAGAAATGTGGCTTCCTTTTTGCTTCCCACGTAAAGCAATCCCACACAGTTTCCTCTTAGTGGGGAGTTACAGATCATTTTACCCAGATTCCTCTGAATAAATCCAAAATTAGCAATGCAGTGGGAAAAAACAAGGTTGTCAACCATGTCAAACATAGAAGAAGCAGCACTGGGGCCCCGGTCCTTAAACCCAAACAGAATCGAGCCCATTTGCACAACTGTGAATGCGTGCGTGTTCTTTCTTGACGATGTTTTGCGCGGAATCACCAGGTCGGTTGTCACAAGTGGCTGGCGTTTCGGATCTATCAAGCTGGTTTTTGCGAATGTTCACTCACTGATTGCAATTGAGGGGAAGTCCATCAGGCCTCGCTGCTGGAAAGCCTGTGCTACACGTGCGAAACGAAAGCAGAGATGCCGCTCGCTGGCGGTTCAAGCGCTGTGAGGCGGCATGTCTTTGGAAGCCATTCGAGTCTCTGAAATGTGCACTGCAGGTTTTGGCTACAAGCTGCGGGCAAAATGGAAATGGCCTTCATTCAAGAATAAATGGCATCAGGCCCTATCGAAAGTTGATTTGTGTGAACCCTTCGAAGTGTGTTGTTAATTATTGTTTGGTTCGTGCCCGCAAAGGGTGGAGCAAACTTGGATGAGGGAAGTGGATGGCTATGGAAATCTTGATATCATGTTTTAAAAACAGTCAACTGTCTCAAATACTTTCCACAGGTTCTTGTGGATAGAACTCAGCGATTTGTTGCAAAAAGCTCCCCTGCTTCAGAGCAACACGGGGTTCCCTGTCTGTCCAATGTAAAAACATGTGTTTGTGGCAGAATCAGAGTACCCCTAAAAGCAGTCGAAAGTTCATTTGGCTTGCCTGTAAAAACAATCCAAAGGGAACCAAAAAGACACATCCATATCAGCCCACTCACTAGACATGGCACGTTCGAACTCAACCCTCCACAGGGAAAGTCGAGTTGGACCCCTAGTGATTACGCTCCTGAACAGATACACCCAAGTGCAAAAAATAAGATACATGCCCTGGTCATATAGTGGCTATAGATAGGGTCTATGTGAGCATGAATTGGATTGGAAATCCTGTGGTGGACAGCAATATACATGCTGTTTTGTTGTCGACCCACCATTGCACTGAAATTCAGAGCTATACACCGCATGTCCGTTGGGCAGACCACCTCAGCTTTTGCCCCCAATTTAAACTTGTGTTGCTGATTGTTGTCCATATTTGTCGAATCTGACAATATCCGATAATGTCCAAAGAGATCCCGGTTGAATACAAGGCTCCTGCGTCTCTCAACCGCCTCGCACAACCCATGCGATGCCGTCTTGGACGGGCAACGCGAGCATCGTGATAGCTTGCGCCTTGGATCGCACATAGCAGCCAAAAACCACGCAGCAAGGATAATTCATAAAACAGGCCAGAAGCAAATCATAGTCTGGCCGCGAAAGCAAACATAATGTGCGGGCTCCCTCTAATGTGCCCCTTTCTCTTCACGCATGTTACTTGTTTTCCCGGGGTAAATCAAAAACAGGGGGTCGTCTCACTTTTCACTTCTGTGTGGCAGGCGCGCGGAAATTTCGATGTCTTTCGTGAGCAGATTGGGAGTCACTCACGTAGAATTCGCCTCCCTTAGCTACTTTGCACACAATCTCAAACCTTCATGGTCTACACCCGTCCCCAGCCCCATGCAAGTTTCAGATGGCGGGGCCCGATTCCTTTTTGGCAGCCATGGGGTGGCTCACGTCATGGGGTCGCAAACGTCAACAGCTGTGCAGTTGAAACCTACGAACAAGACGATCGCAAACTGGTAAACAAAGCAAAAGGGGAAAAGGGGACAAGTTGACAAGGAACAACTGGGGAATAAAACAAATTCGCATAAAACTAGTGGAAGTGAAACTAATCCGCACAAAACAAGTCAAAGTGATACAAATCCGTACAACAAGTGAAGGATCTTTATGGTTGAACTGTTACTGGGATAGATAAGCTCGCATCCCTGAGATAGGACCCTTCAGTACCTGCACAACTTGCTATTTCATCTGTTTTACATGTACTTTTGAGATTCATGTCCGAAACTTCTCAGCAGCTGCAATTTCCATGGGCATGCGAGGAATCTGGGAGGGTGAGCTCGCCTTACCTACCCCCAGGTGAGTTCACTACAAATTGCGACCCACTGCACTCATGGCTTTCCTGGGTCAGGCTAGGCGTCCAAGTACATGGGGTGTCAACACTCCTTACGCGCGATGACGGTTCCCTATCAATTCGAACGCTGGGTGTCAGCTCCCCAATCAATTTAGTTTGAATCCATGACCATTGCAACGCGCGAACCCCGATCTGGATGGCCTCAAAGGGCAAGAACTTGACACCCGTGTCAATATGGGTGACCAACAAACCGGCGTCCAACAACCCGGTCAGGTAGAAGTTTGTCCTAAGAACAACAAGAGCAGCAATTTGACCAGACTTCCAGTGGCCGTAGGAATACAGGGGGGATCTGTCAGCAGTTGATGTAGGAGACAACCCCTCCATTGAGGAATCAAAGCAAGCCGCTGGATGTCCGAGTTTGTTTCTTGGGCTCCCGCCTCACGCCGTAGGTTCGTAGCAAGCGTGCGTCACCTGCAAATTCCAGGCTGCGTTTTAGAGAGAACACGAGTCAACCTATGGGAATCGGGTTCATCGATGGGTTCGGGTGGAACCAAACTGACACAAGACACCGCTCTGTTCACATTTGGGCCAAATAACGGGTGGTTCCAATGACAACCCCAACCCCCGCCCCGGCGTTCCGTGGATGGATGGCAATTGATGGCTTGCATCCACAAGCGTTTGGCTGAGTCAAAAGGTGGACCCTTTGGCGGTTGAGCAGAACCGACATGACCCCGGCCACCACCCCAACTCCGTGCCTTCAACGAGTAATCCATCCGTGAGCAAGAATGTGTGTTGGGACGAATCTAAGAGCGCAAACACTGGCGACTGGACTGCCGGGGATTCGTGTGGGTTCCCTTCTTATATTTGCGGAAATTCGCACCCAAAAGGAAAAGCACGACTTCGGGGTCCACCTTTGACACGTGCAATATATATATATATACATATGTATATATATATATATATACATTGATGCTTTGTGCTTGTGGGGTGAGGCATTGCAAACCCTGGACAATTGCCTGCCCCGTCGCTTGACAGCTGCAAGGTCCGAGTGAAATGAGAAATACAAACAAAATTCAGATCAGAAAAGTAGCAGCTGTGTGGTAGCTGCTCAAACCGCCGCCCTTTTGCAAAGCCATGTAAGTCCAGGTGTGAATACCGCCAAGGGCCTATATCCATATGATTTCTGGACTTGCGATGGTTTGCTTCTCAACCAGTCCGGAAATAGGAGTTCAACCGGGTGGGTGCCATTCTCCCGGTGAGACGATCCAGGCATCTCTTTTTGGTGTCCAGGGCCGATCTTCAAGGTACCTGCTGATATGTGCAACAGAATGACAGCTTTGGGCCCTTAGCCTCGACTGAACAGCAACTTCGCGTGCCTATGGCGTTCCCTTATGATTGAGTAAGGAACCAAACTATTCAACAAGAAAGTCCCATGACGGCTGATGTGACATCTTTCTTGCAGAAACCCGATCATGAACCGAGTTGGTCGACTTTTGCAACTTGACCCTTGAACAACTCCCATCTAGCCTAAGTCGCGGCCCCTTAACTGGTAGGATCAGAGGAACCTCCCTCCTGTCAACCAGTATGGCTTCGAACGTTAAGAGAACCGGTGCCGTGGAAAGGCCAGCATTTTTTTAAAGCAGCAACGTTCTTGAGGGCCGTGGGCATCTTAGCTCAAAATGTCCAGCTCGTTTTGAGGTCTCACCTGGAGACCCCTTCCGAAGGCTCCGTCTGCTCTGAGCGCCCCCGCCAGGTCGCACATGTGGCCCACGGGGCAATCATCGTCCACCTGCGCTCAACGGGGCTTGGAACGGCTGAAACGTCTTTTGTTGGGTCCAGCCAAGACAAGAAATGAAAGCTCCAGAAAGAGCGCAAAACCCCCAAAAGCAACCGACAGTTCTGTTCCAAACGGGATACCGCGTATTAATCATGCAGGGGGGTACGTCCTGTAAACCTGGGGTCCGGTTGGGAAGTCTGGAGAAATGATGCAACAGAGAAACTATCAATCCCGTTGTAGGCTTTTCTGTGGCAAACAAACCAAATTCAAAGCCACCCAACAAGGGACGCTCACTTGGCTCGAGACATGTCCATGACGCGGCATATGAACCAATTCCGGCTGCTTCTTGACCAAACTTAGACCCACAACAACAATGCTGGTTCGCTGGTCAATGGGAATACAACGGAACCCAAAGACACACACAACACGGGGCGCGCGCGGGGTGAAAACTGGAGATTCCTTTCAGCTCCCAGGTCGCTGACAAAGACATGAATGTTGACCCCATATTAATCAACCCCAGTTTATTAATAGCTTGGGTGTCGCTGGTTTTAGTGGGAAATCATTGGTTTTGGTGTGGAACACCCCATACTTCCAGATAGGGGTTTATTAATCCGGGGTCAACATTGCATAGCTGATGCTGATGCTGGGGCTGGACACTTCTCCCCGACCTTTCAGCCCGGTCACCCAAAGATCCAAAGGCCTCACAGCAGCCATAGGTGGAGAGGTCCGAGCAGTGGTGCTGACACCTGAGCACAAGAGTACGCGACCACCCGCGCTGCTGTGCTTACGCAAAGCACTTACGCGGGCATACGCCGCAGGATTGGATGTTCAGCTTTAGGAGCCGTCCCTGAGAGTACGTACCCCATTTGGCCCGTTTCTCAACTTTCTTTGCAATACTGGCAAAGCCAATTGAGAAACAGCCCAATGGGGTCTTTTCAAGGGATAATCATTGCAATCCTCACAACTGGTGTTTGCTGACTTGAACTCTGAAAGCTCGAATTGGCCTGTCAAAACATAAGCCAAGGCGGAACTATCATTCCAAGAAATACTGCCGGGATAAATCGACCCTTCTGGTCGATTTATCCCGGCTCCGGAAGCCAGGGAGCATGACAAGCATGTCTCTCACTGAGTCATGAAGGATCTTTTTGAACGCAAAGGCGCTTTGTCGGCTTAGGATGACTACTAGTACTCCTTTCTCATCGCCAGTCTCCTTGGATGCCTATTCGCCCACCCGAAGCAAGCCAAGGAGCCTTCATGCCCTCCCCCCCCCCCCCGCATGGTTCTGACATTTTCAGCTACATCCAATGTGGGCACAAGGGGATCCTGAGAATGGCAACAGTGTACTTTTCGGTCAACCAACAAAAAGGCTCCCCCCCAAAAAAAACACGACACACTACCAGGCAGAACCAGAGGCCAACCAAGAACCAGCACCTTGCTGTTGCCCGCCGAACGGTGCATGGTGGGCACAGATCAATGCACCAGTGACTATCGGAAAACATCTTGCCATGACAACGCAGGCATCATTTCCTTCTGTTTCAACATGATCGACCTGATTTAATGAAATCCTAGACGTTGGTACTGCAGTTCGGAAAAATATGGGGACCCCCCTGTCCCAAAAGTAGGGACCCCCCTGGCCCAAAAGTGGGGCCTGTTATTGGGGAACAGAAAGAAACCAAGTGACTTTGTAGGCGGCCGGTATTTGAGAACACTGGCTGTTCCTTGTTCCTCACAATCTATAGTCCTGGGAGCACAGCATGTTATGGCCGCAAAGGGGGTTGATCGTGGCTCGACGGTAAGAATCCAAACGCAGGTAAACTCATGCACTAGTACCACATATCCACGGAATCTGAAGAAGAAAAAAAGTACAGCTGACGGAAGCAAATCCGCCCCTCGACAACAAATCAACACATCCCCGGGACATCCCCGTTTGGCTTCGCTTGGCAGGTGTGCTATTCCCCCCCAGTAGTAGCCAACCATGGAACCATTTAAAATCTAAAAATATCCTGAAAACGCGGCCACTTGCGGTATCCTACGTCCAACATCTACCCTTGAACCGCCCCAGGTCTCCCGGCGCATCGCCGGAGTACCCAGGATTACCTCGTGCGCTTGCATGAGGCCGAAGGTCTCACAAACCACACCCAAAGGACAATCTCACACCATGTTTGGAGGTGTGTTTGGGGGGGTGGAGTGTTTGGGGGGTCCTAGGAAAAGTTCTATGACAATCAATCTGAGGTGACTTCCGAGTTTGGCACTCATAACAGACTTCATTTGAGTAGACACCAAGAAGGGTCCATGCAAATATCCTCGCAATAAAGATTCCAAACCAATGAAGACTCTCAGAGTATGTCGAACCTAGAGAGCACATCCACAGTGAACCATGACACTTTCCTTTTTGACACTCTGAAGCGACTATGGTCCTCCCCATGGCTTGACTCTAGTCCTCTCCAATCAAGGCTCGCTTTGGGCCTGCCAGGCTGCCCTAGAGTCGCGGTCAAAATATTCTGAACATTAGACCGCGGTCAGATAAGCGAGCCGCGGTCAAGACCATAGACTATTGAATATTAGGGTGTTTGCAGGGTTCAAAATCCCGAAAATGGGTTGTTGTAACGGTCCCCAAACCTCCCATACAGGGGTTTCGCAAAATGGAGCAACTCATATTGGGTGGCATCGGGAAACCAATACGAAACAAATCATTTTTAGGGTACCCCCCATATGGTGTGCCATTTTAGTTCACCCCCATTTGGGGTAGCATCAACTTTTGAGAAACCATGATGGGTGTATTGATATATGTATGGTCATCCTTCAGACCTGGTTGAATCAGACACACATGCCCCGAATGTAGTTTGGGCGGTAAGCATGCATTAGTACATGTAAATAGAGATAGATACAAGCACAAAAAACAACTGTATCCAAGTCTCGCGTGCTTCGATCCCCGAGGGCCGGGCACTCGCAGCGGCCCCGCGCGAAGGCTTGCCCGCTGGTACGCAGGCAGGCGCCCTCCGGTTCCACGCATTCGGATTCGCGGGGATTCCCCAAGGTTCAGTCAAACAAAGAAAGAAGCCGCCAAGAAAACGACCACAAACCTCAGCTGCCCCTGAGGGACCCAGAAAGAGAGGGTTAATCGTTTTGGGGCCATGACGATAAACATGGACCAAACAGGGGCAACCAAAAGGTCAAAAGGTCGGCACGGGGCAAGCGAGAAACAGATTCCCAACCACAATTGAAAGGAAATCCCCCCCGGTGGACCCTCATGGGTGAGCTCGAAATTTGTCCAGATTCACAGCCTCAAAGTGATCCTGTAGTTTCTCCCCCCACAACGATGGAGATTTGGGGAGGAAGTTGCAGGAAGGTGTCAGGCACTCGAATTTATCAGGGTAAACAATGGCGCTTCGCGAGATATACCCTGTCAAACAATCAAGGACCAACCCGTTAAATTCAGCTGTCAATAGAACTTGGAACAGATGAAACTACAAAACTGAACTGCGCGAGGGACGCGGGCTGCAATTCGACCCGGCCCAAACTGGCTGGCTTTCCGGCCGGCCGCTGCTGGCTAACTTTTCGTCCGACCGGCTGGTTCGACTGTGGCCGGCCGGCCACGGCGGCATCCAGCCACATGGCAAATCCGGGCCGGCTGGAAGGCCTGTGAAGGGTTAAGAGAAGCCCTCAGACGTTTTCTGCGCAAAACGTCTACGCAACATGCAATTGCAAGATATCGGCGCAAGCTTCTCTTGCCCCACCCAAGCACAACTTGGACACATTTGCTTGCGAGATCCCGTGGCAAATTTCTCTACGCAAGTTCTCGTAGGAAAAAATATTTTCGAGCACCCTTTTTGCGTGTCACGGCGGTTCTTGTTTACAGGTTATCGGTGCGAGCTTCTCTTCGCGCACGCGATTCCAGTTTCAAGCAGTTTAAAGTCCTTATTGCCCGTTTCAAAACCATACGATCAATAAAAGGATTGCAAGCTGGGCTATCAGCAGCGTTTGCAATGCTGGGGGTTCAATGCCATCTGCATCTTTCTTTGTAGCCATCAGCCCATCTGTCCATCCATATCTCTGTCCATCTGTCGATCAACCAATCTATTCCCATCTACCTACCCATCCATCTACGTCCATGACAAGTATTAGTAAAATACATTTTACATACACAATCGCACACAATTTGAAATAAAGGAACCAAATCAAGAAGGAAAAAAGTATATAAATCAATACATGAACGAATGAATGAAAGGCTGAATGAATGAACAAATGAATGACAATATACATATATATAGAAAAACCTAAATATATGTACACGTATATATATATATATATAGGACCTCCCAATACCGAGGATAGATGCTCTGCAGGGCCAGATGCAGGGGTGGCTTGCTCTTTAGGGGAAAGCACGCCAGACGCCGTCAAATGCATACAGATGTCGCAAAGAAGAAGATGCGCACTAGCTTGCGAAGCACACCCAGCTTGCGCAGCAATATTTTTGGCCTCGGTGGTCATTGTGTGTCAGGTTGCAAGGGCGCAACATCAGCATACCACGCACACAGCTTTCCTGTGAGGGCCACAAATCATCGTACCTGTGCCAGTACTCATACTGAGCACTGCGAAGCCTGGCTTGCAACACGCTCAACCCAAGCTCTAACCATCTGAGCTGGAGCCTGAAACTGCTGGGGACGTGCACTTAGCTCTCAACATCCTGTGCTCAGCGGAGGTTTGCAGGCAACTCCAGCTAGGAGCACCAAAACGCTCAGCACCACCACCTTCTTCTCAATCTTCACCATCTGCGGCCTGAGGTGGCATGAGTGGGGTGGAACTAGCACGTTGGCTTGCACACAGTGTGAACTGACCCATTGCCAAAAACTTGCCAGACAAGTATGCTACAGCGCCACCGGGAAACTGGATCTCCAACTCAAATGTCTGAGAAACAGCTGCAGCCCAAAATCGATCAAGCAACGTGTCTCGTGTCGACCTGCTTCAACTTCGTGCGTGCAGTCTCAACAGGGGGTTCCACCCACGCCTTTTAGGACCGTAAGCCCCAAGGAACTCGAGTCCTCAGCATTGTTCAGCACGATGTGGCGCTGATTTCTCCAGTTTGCCGGCTTGCACTCCACGTCCGCCAAGAACTTCTCGCCAAACCCATGAAAGACTTCAAGCCTCCGATCTGCGTCAATTGACACGCGCAGGATGATTGCAGTAGGTGTCTTGCCTACTCCAGGGCGTTCAAGGAGCATGAGGCCACAGGATGAGAGGATTCGCGGCGCGATCTCCGTTGCGAAAAGCCCTGTTCAAATCCAAGAGCAAAGGAAAGGATTTTTGCGGTTTCGCTTGGCAATTGCCAGTAGCTCGTTCTGACACGCCTTCTGAGCAACATGGAGGAATTGCTCGTTCAAAGGGGCGTGCTCGCTTTTTTTAATTTCAACGCCCGAGCTCGTCCGCGCTTGGGCTCCAGTTCGTGGAGAGTTTGCCACGTTGCCACTTTTCAGTCAAGACTTGTCGTACTTAACATCATGCGCAAGAGGCAGAAGAGCTGCAGGACGATGTGTGACATGATGAGACGGACCCTTCACAGAGTCTTGGCCGAACGAAAAGGCAGTGGGTGTGCTCGAGTTGGAGCTTGAGACATCACTTTGATGATCTGTTCTCCATCTTCAGGCCACACATGGCCCACAAGGGTTAAAAAAAGTCCTTGAACTTCTTGCCTTTGTCGGCGACAGGCGCGAGGGGGAGATCGTCAAGGACGAACCTGCCGCGGTCAAGGTGGACGCGTTTCCATTCCGACAAGTACTTGGTTTTCGAGGACCTCTGCCAGGCACTGGTCCATTGGCACTTGGCGTGCAGTTGGGGGGCAGGCGCAGAAAAAGCAAAAGAGCTCAACACACAATTCTCGGTCAATCTTGGATAGTGCCCGACTCATGCATGAGAATGTGCACTGTGAGCACGTGCAATGCGTACCGGGCAAACTTATAGCACTTTTCACCTGTCTCAGCCACATCCCTCTTGCGCACTTCGTCTACAAGGGCTGCGTCTACCTACAAGGACTGCAGCACCTCCTGTGTCTGCTGCTGGGCTGTCTGCAGGCACACCACGCACTCATGATCGTGACAGCTGTCCCACATCACTTGCCTAGCCTCTTCCAAGATGCTTGGGGCCATCCGCGGTTTGTTCTTGCGAGGTTCACTCCCAATCGCGCCCTGTCCTTGGCATTCTCGGTGCTCTCGGGGTTTGCCTCGACGTCTCGGGGTTGGTCGTCGCCATACCCTCCCTCAGCCTTGTCCTCGGCATCCTTCGCGCCATTAGCCTCGATGTTGCTGTCGCCGTTGCCACCCTCAGACTCGGAAGCTGTAGACGAGCTGTCGGCAAGCTGTCTTCGGAATTCGAGTCGCTATTCTTTTTATTGCAAAATGCAAAGGGTGGTTCTTGATGAGAGCCCTGCGGAGCAGTCCGGAGCCATGCCTCCGATCTGTTGCCGGCAGGCCTTTGAGGCCAGGGCGCAGCAGTAAGAGCCACTTTAGGCGAGCCGCATGCGTCTATCCATCTGCCTAGTAATCTAGGTATTTATGGATCTGTACATCTATCCATCTACCTTTATTTCCATAAATCCAGCTTTTGTACACCCATGCGTCCTATCTGTCTCTCTGTTGATCATTCTACATACCTTCTTCTCCACCTTCTATTCTATGCATACCTTGTTTTATGTTCTCTGTCTATCCACTTACCCATATTTCTACCCATCCATCTGCCTTTGTATCTATCTTTCTATCTATGAATCAATTTACCAGTCTATCCAACGACCCGTCTATGTGTCTTTGTTTCATGTGTGGTTTGCCCATCTTCCTATCAATCGATCCATCTATCGATCTTCTCTCCTTCCTTCTCTCCTTCTCTCCTTCTCTCCTTCTCTCCTTCTCTCCTTCTCTCCTTCTCTCCTTCTCTCCTTCTCTCCTTCTCTCCTTCTCTCCTTCTCTCCTTCTCTCCTTCTCTCCTTCTCTCCTTCTCTCCTTCTCTCCTCTCTCCTTCTCTCCTTCTCTGCTTCCTGTCTCCCTTTCTTCCTTCCTTTCTACTTGTGCATGAATTCACTATGTGTCCATCTATATACTTCTCCATCTCCCTGTCGCAGTCTGTGAATCCGATTAGCTATATGGTCATACATCAATTTGTCTGCCTGTCTGCCTGTCTGTCCGTCTGTCTGCCTGCCTGTCTGTCTCTCTATCTATTCATCGATTGATATGTATATCTGTTTGTCGATCTATCGATATGTCTGTTTGTAGGTGTATATACATATATATATATATATCATCTATCTAATCGATCTCATCTATCTCGTTGTAGATCAGATACATATTATATCATGGATGAGATAGACGAGATAGGACACATAGATTGGATAAACCAGTTGATATAGTTGAGTCGTCTATATCAACTTTCTTATCTGTAGTATCAATATTATCTATCTAACCGATCTGTTCTATCCTATCTAATCTATGATATCTGTAATATATATTTGTTCTATGTCTCATCAATGTTATCTGGCTTCTCTATCGAGCCTATTTAAACTATCTAATCTGTCAATGCCGTATCTCTAATCTATCTGATCTATATCATCTATCCTATCTATCCTAGATAAGCTATCTCTCCTGCCTCTCCTATCGCTATATATATATATATTAACATGCCTTTGTCTACATATATATATATATATACTAATATGTATTTGTCTGTCAGTCTGTCTGTCTCTCTGTCTGCCCATGTATTTATCAATGTTCCTACGTGTCTTCGTGTTTATTGACTTATTCATCTCTGTAGCCACCTATGAATCGTGCCATCAATCTATCTGGCTGGCTGACCGGCCAGTCAGCCAGCGTTGACCGGTTCCTGTCTTCAGCCAGCAGCCGGTTGAGTTTCCGACCGGCGGCGGGCCAAGGCTGGCCAGGATCGGCTGACTTTGCCGGCCGTAGTTGTTGGGTAGGTGAGCAAACAAATAGCTTGCAACCCAACTAATTGAATGAGGTGCATAGACATGCTATTCATCAGATTCTGACCCACCACCGCACTGTCAAGATTTGAGTTTAAACAAACAATTAATGAAATCCTAATTTGAAGCACAACCAAGCACAATAAAATATGACAACCCGAGTTTATAAACAAAACACCCAAACGTGGATGGTAAGGTGCCATGACGCGAACCCTTGAAGGGATGAATAGCAGCGGTGTTTGTTGAAATGACACCCAAGCCAAACGCGAACCAGAGGGACAACAACACCTCTTTAACAAAAAGGCTGCCTAAATGGCCTAAATATAAACACGGCAAGAAACACACACAGACACACACACACACCAACAACAGCAACGCAAATCCGACCGCGCCAAGTCCGGGAGGTTGGGCGTTGAAATTCCCCGCCTGACCGGAGCAGGGCACCTGCACGTTGGGAAAGAAGCGGTTCCCGCCTGTCAGGGGCTTCTGGAGAAGCCCGGGCTGAATAACTCCGAGGATATGGCGCTTCTCTGGTACTCTGTTCAGGTTGGTTTGCAGGGCAACAAAACAAAAATGGAACCGCCGGTGGGGTGGTGTTCAAGCGCCTTATTTTGAGACATACCCAAAGTCCCAAGCGAAATTGTGTGGGCCTTGGCTCTGCTTTAAAACCAGTCTCCCTTGGACGCATACTCATTATGTAACAAGGTGTCACGAACGGCTACCCCCTGATGGAAATACGCTTGGCGTGCCTATGCTAGTAGCCCATTTCCTTGGATGGGCGCTATGGTTTTTAAGAGCACTCGAACCCCCCACCGTTTCTTTGGGGGAACATAGGGTGGCATCCCCAAACAGGAATTCCACACTTGTTGTTTTGGGGGTATGATTTATGCAACCAAGCCCAACTCGGCAGCCCACAATAAGGTATGAACTCTCAAATGGTGGCAATATGATGATCGTGACTGTGATGTTCCTGAAGATTAGCTCTATGGGCTCAGCGCAATCAAAATCTAAGAATAAGCAGTTGGACCTCGTTGGATGGGTGCTGCCTGCTCTGCTGTACCACTGATTCCAATTCCAAACAACCACTTTCCCGCGGGTCCCGTGGATAAGAGACGGGCTGCAGTTTACCGAACAACTTCATGCGGTAAGCCCGGGTGTCCCATAGAGGATCTGGAAAATTAGGCCCGTTCCATGTTGGGTTTGCTGTTGGCAAACAATGATCATGAGCCATGAGCTATTTACAATCACAGTTGCACACATCCATGCGATTCACACCATTCAACCTCTTTCATATCCTCTTGCGGCGCCGCAATGTAAATCGACTCTCCCTGACGACACTTGCTTTGAGGCAGTAAAATTGAAAAGGCCAACATGTAGTCCACCTTCGCTTTGGCCTCCGGTCATGGAGTCCACCTTTTTGAGACCAATATGATCAGCGACCAAAACCCACTGTCTTTTGGCTCCACCAACATGATTCTTATAGTCAAAGGTTCAAAAAGGGGGCTGTGACAACCGGCAAACTGGCCAATAAGGGTGTTAAGCGCTGCACTAGTCCCGGCCTGCCAATCAACCAAACCAACGTCCAAACAGGTCAACTTGGCCTGGGCCTGACTGCATGCGCCATCTGCTGCTCAAACAACCTGGCTTTCCTTTCAAAATAGCTCCTCATCCGCGCTGGCACTAGGACACAAGAATCAACTAGCAGGACTAAGGATGTAAAGATTCTGATCCGCCCAGTTTCAATCCACAGCAACATTGATGTACCAACTCAAAGCTGTCCTTGGGAACCCAGTCTAAAGGAGTTCAGGAGTTTCACATCCAACACAATTTGGCTACACCGAACCGAACTCATCCGAATCTGCAACCGCCTGTGGGGCAGGCATCGAAGCAGTGGCAGCCCACCTCCTGCCCCCCCTGGGCGTGTGCCTGGCGAATGAATCCATTCGCAAGTCGCTGTCTCAAAGGGAAAGCAAACTGGGCTGCTCATTCTCAGATTTCCTGCTAAAAGTTTAACTTTTGGTGAGTTAAATGGAAAGTCGCACTAAACCCTGAAACCTAAAGACCTAAGGGGATGGCTGGGAACCACCAGGCAAAGCGAAACAATGACATGTTTGCCAGGGAATACCATGAGGGCCCAATTCGTCATAATTGTAGGAGAAAAGTGATGTGCTTCTAGCGAGTTGGCCCAGCACATCTGCGCGTCTTACAATAATTCCAAGACCAAGATATCTGCAAGTGTACGACCTTGCTCGCTTTAGCCCCCTGGTGAGCTCGCCATGAAATAGGACACGCTTCTCCTTTAATAAGCCCTGCAAAGGCATACCCATAGCCGAAAACGGAAGTTCAAGAAATCTGAACTTCAGATGAACTTAATCCACGCCTAGGTTTTAATCATGTTCTTGGACAGTATAGATCAGTGAGATCAATTTCAATCCTTGCCATGACACACATTTTGTGCCAGGACCCTGTCAAGGGCCTCATGCTTTTCGTGGGTCCTTTCATGAGGGTTCTCAAAATGGCTTACCCATGCCACTGGCCCACTGCCGCTGGCCTGAGGGATTCCTGACATGTGGTTCCTTCGAAGGGCGGATCCTAACACAGGGGGCCTTGTGTCTTGCGACCTGTGTGTCTTAGAGCCCTGGCCTTCTTCCCGGCGCTGGTGAATGCGTCTTTCGCTCGCTAAAAGGGCTTCTGTAATAGATACTCCTGGCTCGTCCCCAAAAACCAGCCTAGTATCCATCCAAAGTTTGAGCATGCGGCCATGTTTCCAACAGGGCAACAGTTGATTGGCTTCAAAAAGCCGGCAAAAGGGAAAACCAGCCAACTTTGGAGGCTGTTGCCCGCTGCCCAGATCGGTGGGAAACTCATCATGTTGACAGAAAATCAAAGGTTCAAGAATCAACCGAATGGCAGCCGAGCAACATTGGGTCCTCAACTTTGGGACACGGCAAAAAGCGTCCCCCTGCCCGCCTCGTAGAGGCCACGCACCTTGCAGGTCAAAAGCATGCACCAACTGGGTGTTTTATCGATCTATATCGATCTCCATTTAAGCCGACCCCCAAAAACGGTGCACCCAAAAACAGAAACACTCGCACACACACACACACACATATATATGAAGCACCCAGCCTTGAGCAACCACAAAAGGTCAGCCTTGCTTCACTTCCCCGAAAGACGCAAAATGGGGGGTGCGTGACTTTGAAGGCTGCCCCCTTGATGGGATGTACAAACAGGTCAAAGCTAGCCAGATTTCGAACCACCTCGCGGAATGAAAGCCCATGGATCCAGCCTGCTGGAGTTTTGGCATGAGTTTACGAACCTTGCGTTCTCAAAGCGTAGGCGTGGATGTAGCCCTCCAACTTCTTGGCATGCGTGCACAGGGTTTGACTGTGTTTGCATGCTCCGAGCGAGACTCGTAAACAGAAAACCTGGCTGTGAACACCGAGATGGGGAGGTAAAGATACTGGTGATACTGCATCGGAAAAAAGGCACACCCCCATCTGCGTTTCGACAAACAGGACCCCCGAGTTGGCCTATGTGAAACCCGGAAAGCCAAACACCATGCTTTAGGCTCGCATGAAATCCACTGTAAAACAGCCTTAAAGCCAAACGAGCCCCACACAAAGCGCACATCCAACCTAAGCCAACCATGACTCAATCACCCTAAACCAACCTACCACACCAAAACTGACGCTCGTCTGATCCATTGGCCTCACCCAACCATGACCCTAAGCCAACTTCCAACCACACCAAAACTCACCGCAGCTGATCACTGGGGCCTCCTCCGCCGTGAGGGCATTCTTAAAGAGGGTCACATTGTAGATCCAGCCTGGCGTCTGGCAGGGGTCTAGGTCCTCCAGTAGAGAGGTTAGAAAAAGAGTACCAACCTTTTTTTCTGTAGTCTATTTTAGTAGGGGAACCCTTCCCCAAAAAACAAACAGTAAAAGGGCACTACTGGGGGACCTAGGGGTTAGGCCCATTCGGCTTGTTCCGGGCCAAGGCGAAAAAGTGAAGGACCGCAGTCTGCAGGACAGGGCCCACGAGAAGTTTCAGCTTCCCTTTGATTCATGGATTTAATTTTTGGTTTGGAGGTTAGAGAGTGGGTTCCCGGTTCACCTCTACAAGAGGGTTGGAGGTCGAACAAAAACCAGTCCGCTCCGAAGACTGAATCAAGTGAAAAACGGCTTGGGACGAATGTCTGAGACTTGTTTAGTTGCCTGAGGATTGGAGCAACCCTGTTTGCTAGCTTGGCTTGCAGGTTGGTCTGCCTTCTTCGGTTTCAGGAAGGGGCTCCGATCACGCCACCCAATTGGACGGTACGCTGACAGATTGCGGGGTTTCACATGGGTCACTAGCGCTGGTCAAACGAAGCAGAAAACATTCGATCTGGCCCTTTTCCCGCGGGCTTCTCCTGTTAACTTTCAACCCACCGTTGTCCGCACAAATGGCGAGTGCCCGGCACAACAACTCTCTTGGGTGGAATGGCCAAACAACCAAATATTGGTTTCTCATCTGCTTCCTGTTGACCCGCTCGACTGTGAGCCTTTCGGGACCGGGTTAGTGGTAAAGACAAGGCTTGGAGCGGAAGTGCCGATGCCACTGTCCCAAACAAGTCTATAGTTCGTGCGAACCAGGAACAGGGTCTTCTTGAAAAGTATCAAGTTGAGAAACCTGGGAAGTGAGGACTTCCCTCATACCGGAGGAATTACATCGGGAGTGGTGCATTTGTTTTGCTGGGGGGTAAGATACCTTTCCCTCTTCCATTACTTTGGGGTGAAGTCGGTAATCTCCAGAAACTGGGCAAGTGAGACAGAATCAAAACCTGGTCCTAAAATTGCCTATCCAAACCCACGAACATAATTGGAAGGGCGGCAACCCGGGCTTTGAGTGTCAAGTGAGACAGCCCCGTCTCCCGTTTCCGCCTTCGAAGAAGGGTGAGTGGCTGAAGCCGTGGATCACTCCGTTCCGGGGGTCTGGATCGGTTGGTCCTGGCAGATTCGAGCTGCCTGCTTCCCGTAACGGGACAAGCTGAGAGTGCCAGTGGTTCTACTGTGAACGGATAAAACCGTGCAACACGTTGACACCACGGTTGAACCCATTGTTTGTTGGTCTTCAATTGCAGGGGAATCATATGTTGCGGTATGGAAAAACAAAAACGGACGACACATACAGTAGGAGACGGGGAGGGATGAGGTACCATGCAATGCGGTGTGCCCCCCAAACATAAGGAAAGGGACTGATTGGCTGCTGGGAATTAGGCTCTCACTCCAATTCCTGCGCGATAGTTTCGGATGATGACAACTGCATAGACCCAGCGAATAAAAGGGCAGGGGCTCATCATCCAAGCATCTATCTCTTGTGAATATCTATATATATATATGTATAATGTATATGTATGGTTGTAGTTGATGGCGTGTTATTATGGTTGCATTATGTATTGTGTCATGTAATCATTGCGTTTATCTGTTCCATGTATTCGTATTTAATTGTTTAGTTGTGTAGTGATGTGTGCATGTATCCAGTTTATTGTTTATTTGTGTAATCAATCTATTGATTTGACTATGTGTGCGTTTATTTGTACAGTATTTATGAATTTGTTAAATGATCTATGTAATGTATGTGTGTGTGTATTGAATATGTATTTAGCTTTTTTATGCGTTTGCATATATGAATGTATTGGTTTTCTTTTTATCTTGATGTCTTGCAGAAATGTTCAATTGCTTTTATGTGACATTGTGCAAATGATTTGTCTTGTCAATGCGTGTCTTCTACTGATATTCTATTCTAGAAGTCTGTCGTCTGTATGGCTGCTCTTTGGACTCTACAGTATTGACACGCAACATTGGGAAACCAAAAGGAAGTTGATGAGGTGCAAGCCAGTTCAGTTGTGGTAGAGACACCGATGCGTGCAAGGCATGGCTGAATCTGTCCGCAATTGAGATGAAGCCTTTTGCACTGGCAGGTCTTGAATCGAGGCACATTTTGTCCTGACTGCGCGTCCAACAAGCGGGGGCAGAAGTCCGTCTGCATGGAGAACTCTCAAAAGAAATGGTAGGCAACCAATAACCAACATGCCTGGGAATGCCTGTCATGTTCTTTTTCCATTAAGCGTTGCGTACGCTGAACCCCTGGTGAATCGTCCGAGTTGATCCGGAGGAGCGGTTGCCTTGGGGGGAGCTTCCATATATATATATATATATATATCTATGCACCAGGTGAGCTATGCGGATCTGTCGAAAGACCCAAAGTCCTGTACCCAAGCCAACCCCCCATGCCCCCACCCCCAACCCCAACTCCAACCCCAGCCAGCCCACGCCTGGATCCGTCGCGGGGACTGGGTAGTGCGCGGAGCTGCGTACGCCCAGCACCACGCGGGTGGAGCCCACGCCGTTCATCCTGCGCGGCGGACTTCATTTTCGAAAAACAAAAAAAAGGTTGGGTTGGTTCAAAGCTCGCTGCTTGAACAGGCAGGAAGCGAGAAACGAGATGACTTTGAGACAACCCTCGATTTGGTTGCCTTTGAGTGAGGGAATCCCTAAGTTCATTCCCAACACCTTGGTTCGTTCCCTACATACTGAGCACCAGCAAGAAAGGCAGTCTAAACAAGAAAACAACAACAAGAAACCACAAACGGGCTGCGGCTTGCGACGTGCCCCGGGTTTGCTGTTGGGACTTCGGGGCTTGATTGGGTCAAGGTTCGGCTATGATAGCCACTGTGTTGATAATGTACGGCTTCCAGCCCTTCCCATTTCCTTCTGCTTGGGGGTGGAATCCCTCTGCGGTGACTTGATTCCGCCCCAGGTAGCTCAAAGACCAAAGGGCCCAACCCTTGGGACCCACTGGCGAGGAGAATCCAGTGTCTGGGGCAGAGGGAAAGCGGCAGATGGATAATTAGCGCCAAATTAGCGCTGTGGCATAAATCAACTAAGCCCAAAGTCAATCCCTTGGAGTCGGTTGACCTTCTATGCACACAGCAACTTGTTGCTGATCAATTGGGAAATACATCTTTGCCCAAGTAGTTAAAGGTTAAACAGAGATACCACCAAATAGAAGCCAACAGTCGTGGTGACAACGAACTCAGGGGCCCTGGCGACCAAGACGGGTTCTTAGGGGTTTGTAGGGTAGGGGCCGTAATGATTAGCATCCCCTGGGTTGATCTGACTGTAAGGGGTTTGCTTCGTCCGGGGGCTGCCTCAAGAGGGCCCTATGTTGGTGGCGTCCCGTTTAAGCCAAAAAGAGTACCCGCGAAAACTCATCTGCATATATGATTGTCTCAATCCTCAAAATGGGTGGTTTCATTGAGGTTTCCCACCCAGCCACCTCCAACAAGGGCATCCATTCAAAAAAACACCCAAATTCGGTACCTTTCAACAGGGACGCACCCGTGCGTATGTATATCTACAATATCATATCTTATACATATATATATATATATACATACATACGTATATATACCTGCATCTCTTTAAACTTAATAATTCCCACTCCAAAAAGAAAAAATACTTGCTTCCATGCTGGAGTGATAATTTTCACTCCGTGTTAAACTGCCCGTTCGGGTAGTTCCGACTGCTCAGGCATCCGTTCGGACCCGTTTGGAGGTATGTAAAAAATACGCCAACATTACGCAATACGCCTTCGATAATTGATGCGCAGTGCTGATTTATGAACACTTCGATGGTAGTGAATATATCCGTTCAAGAGTAGAAATACCCGTGCGAAAGTGGAAATACCCGTGTCCTCAGGCCAAAAAGTACTTTTTCAATTTTGGAGTAGGAATTCTTAACTTCCAGGAGATCCAGGTATAAATAATATGATGGTTGTATGAAATTCTTTGTTCCGGAAACCGCCATCTTTGCGAGAAAAAACTAGCTTTCGCGAACCCCATCACGGAACTTTCGCGGGCCTGTTTTCAGAACATTCATCACAAAAGTGGTACACGAAGTACACTTTCGCAGCCCCAGCTCGAAAGTCGCAGCTCTTCAGTGCGAAAGTAGTACTAAAAGCAAACTTCCGCAGCCCGGCTTGAATACGAAACTAGTACACGAACTAGACTTCCTCAGCCTCGAAAGTCAAAACTTTTCAATGCGAAAGTAGTACACAAAGTGAACTTTCGCAGCCCCCGCTCGAAAGTCGCAACCATTCAGTTCCAAAGTAGCACGCGAGGCGCGCTTCCGCAGCTCCAGCTCACAAGCCGCGAGCCACGCACGAGAGGACCCGTTGGCCTCATGTCCGGAAACTGGCGGGGAGGTCCGTCGACTTTCGCGAAACTTTCGCGGATCTTACGCCAAACATTCGCGAAAATCCGGCTGGAAGTTGCGCTCAACTTGCCCGCGGAGAGCTTAAAAACTCTCAGATTTCTACTGGCTGGGGGTTGCCTTTGCAGCGGCGTATTCTTGCGGCGACCCTCAGGCTGCGCATTCTCCGACCAACTTTAGTCTGCGGGCATTCTGCCCGCACTGCCGGTAAATACACATGGTTCATCACTCCAGCTTCCTGTTAGCAAGCCACACAAAGCTTTCGCGGAAAAAACAAAAAACAACAAAAAAACAAACCTAAAAAAACAAACTTTCGCGACCCCCTTCGCGGAACTTTCGCGAAGGTCAACGCTAAGACCAAAAGGTCTTCCCCTTCATAGCTCAATACAAGGACCTTTCGGACGACTCTCATATATATATATATATAGATATATATATATAGATATATATATACACGTAAACCCGCGTCCAGTGCTGGCTGCTGGGCCCACCAGGTCGAAGCGCGGCTGTGGGAAGTGACCACTTCCGCGATACAACAAAAAGGGCGTCCCAAAGATTAATCCCCCATATAAACGGAGAGATTCTGTTGTATCACAGAAGTGGGGGATAAAGCCCTTCATCCCACAACCCTGGTTCCGAGATGTGCCTGTTGACGGGTTCGCGGACCGTGTAGGGCATCCCATACCTCTCCGCGCGCGACAAGCGCGGCGACCAAAGAACCAACAACAAACCCGGCGGGCCAGAATTGCGGCCGGCAGTGCAACATGTGATTTGCAAGGGATTCAGATTCAATACAAGCTCCCCAAATTCAAATCTACTAGCAGAAAAATATGCGCCTTGCAGCCCAGACTAAACAAATAACCAACTAAAGGTTGAGCTCAAGTAAAACCAACCCTCACAGGTTGCTTTGTCAATGCCCTTTCGACTGAAGACAGGCTGAACAAATCAATGTGGTGACCTGACTCTTCCAACCGTTCTCCAAGAGTTCAAGAGTCCTCAGGGTTCCTCATAGTTCCCCATTTAAAACTGTTGATCACCGCACCAAAAGGTCACAGTTCTGAACATCGTCCCGAAAATGATACGACTCAATCTGGCGTAACAAAGACAGGAAATTGTGTGCAACCAGATTTCCAACCCCGAACACACTCTGTTCCGTAAGGAATCACATGCATGTGGTTCCACGCTTCACTTTCGGAAAGGCTCAACAGGATGGCACATGTCTGTCTCGCCTAAAAGGATACATCTGTCGTGTTTTACCTTATGAATCCCTGCATGAGCTGAAATAGATGGCATCCCTTGCCATTAAAATGGCCCTCTGCCTTCAAACAAGAGATGGACATCTTGGACAACTCTGAACTGTGATGGCAACTTGTGCTCCAAATCACCCCAAAACAGCCCAACTTATCCAAACAAGGAGGGAACTGAAAGAGAGCCGTTCCGGAATCCCCATCGAACTGATGTCTCACGAGCAGCCCCAACGAGCTGTCTGCGGGCACGTCATGCCGTTGCGGTAGAGGGCGTACTGCATGAGTCGGTGCGTGCTGTCACCTCCTACCTGGCAAAAATCAGCAGGTCAGTGTGTCTTCCAATCTAGACCTCCCAAGCTTTCGAAATTTGCGGACACCCTGCAAGTTGACAAAGCCCCAATGAACCCCATTCAATCCTGCGAAAGAAACAATGCGTATGGTATGTCCAAACAAATTCAGAACTGTGCACTGCCCTAAGCTGGTGACAGCTTACCAACCAAGTCTTCTAGATGACGATTTGCAGGCTGTGCTGGCATATGAGCTTGCACACCTCTCAGTGATATCCTTTCCCCCCCCCTCCAGTTTCGTGCAGAGGAAAGGATGCACGTTCCTGCACTGTTCCTGCCGCCCTTGTTCACATGATCATTGTTAGAGCAGAATGGAACAGGTGGCAGGCGACTGGCAAAAGCAGCCTTAGGTCTTGCAACCAACCACAAGTCGTGAGAAAAAACAACATGGTGTAGAAGCCGTGCTTGATCGGGCACATCTCTTCCCCCCAGGTACGCTAAACATGTACCCTGGTCGCGATGTTGGGTTTGGGACCCCCAAACCTATAATTCTGAACAAGCTTGGTCACATAGGGGGCCTTCCCTTGGGCCCCCCCAACCTGCCCGAGAGCCCAATAACCAGTGTGAGAAACCTTGGAACAGCGACATCCCAGGTTTGCTTCCTGATGCCTCAGTCTGCCACTCACAGCTTTTGAGAGGCGGGTTCATGTCCCCCGCAAAGCGTGAGCGCTCGAATGTCCCCTCTGGCTTTCGGGGCTGCTTTTGCTTTCCCTTACCAACCCGAAGAGGTTGATGACTCTCGTCCCCAGCAGGTCAAGATCCTCGAATTGAATTGTCCCCTATGGCGTTCAGGGCTCCTTTTGGTGTCGAGCCGATCGAAATCGCCTGAGGGAAGCTTGGCACTCATGGACCCTTTCTGCCCAATGCACTTTTGGATGGTAGGAATGCCACAATCCGAATGGCCTCTCTCCCCAGGTCTCCCAATTGCCTTCTGTTTGGTCATGGCGATGTGAACCTCAGTCCGAAAAGTGCAGAGGTTAATAGAGGATGCATTCACTTGAAGGAACCGTAGGGGATGGTTTATAGGCGTCATTCCCTCCTTCCCTGCTGAGAACCAGCAAGTAATGGTCATATGCAACAAGCAAAGCCATCAAAGGTTGTTGAGGTCAGTATGTTTGGTCTTGCAACTTCCCCAACCCAAACGTTGGAGCGCCAAACTTTGCTTTGGCCGGCCATGAGCCATTTGTAGAAACCCACATGCCCACCCAACACATGGAGTACTTGTAGGACTCATTCCGACAGCTGCTTTTTAGAATCTGGGCAAAACGCGGTTGGCCTATATAGATCTTGCAGGTCTGAGTCCAAGACCCCAACGGTTGAATCTCAGAGTTTCTGAACAGTTGGTGTTTTTGCAGGAAAGGTGCCCCTTGGGAAGGCATTTCAGCTATCCCTTATTAGGTTTGGGACTGCAGGTTTTAGTCCACTTTCCCATTCAACAGGGTTTCCATGTTGGGCCCCTATTTTGAGCCACACCCATTCCTCCACTAAGTCTACACATGGGTTATTGTTGGGTTCCGTGAATCTGGAGAGTACAGGCTTTTAGCCGCCGGCGGCCTCTTTGCTCACTTGGACATGGAGACCTGTTTTGGTGCTTTTAGTTTTTGTGCTTTGTTTTGTGTTTCTTTTGGGGGGGAGGGGGGGAGGTAATTTTCAGAGCTCACCGAGCAGATTTGCCATCTCCCAACGTGATATTTCTTACAATCCGTCGCATGGCATACCTTGCTACCATGAACTCAGCTGAGGATTTGGACCGCTTTTTTTCAAAGCCGCAGCAGTGGTCGCTTGAAGTCCGGAAACAATGGAACCCGCAGCAAAGTGCCCGAAATAGAGTGACTAGCAAGCCAGTTGGAACATGGCAAAGGGGTAGAAGGGCTGGCTGAGGTGCGGTGCTTGCAAACCTTTGGAGGGACACCTACCTTTGAGTCTACGATCTGAGCAATCAGTGTCCCCACCTGACACAAAACTTTGTTTAGTACTCTTCCGCATATAATAATGGACCGCAACAAACAGACATGTTTAATGGTGTTCAAAGCAATCCGCTGCTGTTCCAGTCCATGTGAATTTGCGGAAACACCAATGAACATTTGGCGAGCACACGCCATGCTCTTTAGGACAAATGGCGGTTGACAGGTTGCTCACGCTTATGTATCAGCGCTACAAAAACCGGCCGCAGAATCGATATAAGTGTCTTTTTGCGCATACCCTGTCGAGACTGCTCAAAGGGACACCAAAACGAAGCCACCATGTTTGGGGGTCCCCCTACTCACATCCATGCGTATTCCCTCAACGCTCCAAGACCCCTGCGATGCTGCCCACATCGTTGAAGGTGTAGTTCACTGTGAGGTCCTCCGATCGCACGAGAAGGAAACGCAATTGCCTTTGGATGTTTAGGACCCACCTGTTCTCCACCGAAACGTGCAGAAACACGTTTCAAGCCCCACAGCAGAGGATCCCCGAGTTTTGAACAAATGCACACCCATATTTAGTTGCATTGGGAAGGGCCCCGACATCAGTTGAAAGGTGACCACTCACACATACACGCCATGTTGACATTGGACAAGCCCTGCCCTCGTCTGGAGACATTGGAAAAGGTCGCCTTGGGATTTCGGAAAGGCGTCGCGTGCTGTGTGGTCGAACTTGTTTTTTCTCACCATCAAGCTGAAGATCAAGGACGCGAGGTCTATGCTGTTGTAAGCCCCAAGCAGCGTGTGGAATCGTGCCTCTCAAGGCTGAACCGAAACTACTCAGTAATTAAGTTGCCACAAATATGGGCTGTAACATGTGGTCACAGCTGGGTTCTAGGATGCTGCACACAATTGTCCTTTGGTGCAAGCAAGTGGAACCCGTGTAGAAGAACCTGCCTATGATGGGTCCCATAAACAAGATGAAGATGAAGCAGCTGGGCCTGTTTGAATTAAAGGCACCGTACCTTCGGGCCATCGCCAAAGCAGAGGGATCAGGAAAAAAACCCTCTGGCTAGTAGATCGCTTTCTGCAACACATTCGTAAAGTTTCCTGTGTAAATGGGTGGTTGCAAAACATAGGAGCGTTGTGGAGCCAAAGCCGACAAAGGATGAGGCATTTGGCGTGGTCAGGTGTCATTCAACGGGCGTGGATCCATGGAGCAACTGCCATGGGTGCGTGTGTGTGTGTGTGTGTGTCAATGGACAGCTAACTCCCGCCTTTGCCAGCATATTCTGCTATTTTTGAATACGACACTGACAAAATGAGGGTGCTCCTCAATGGTCAGGCAGATAACATCCACATTTTTCCCGAAATGCATGAACGATCCACAGGATCCAGTTTAACTTGGTCATTTAGCTATAGGGGTGGCTTTTGCAACAGCAACTTAGATCCAATTCCAAGAACGGCGTCAAATCCTATTCTCAACAAACAGCTGCAAAAGAGTTCCAGTGGCCTTTGCCATTTCTCACTTGCCGTGAAAATCAATGGTGGTCGCGCATAGAACCAACAAAACCATTACCAAAGCCATAGAGATCTGGTGGAGCGCGCTCCCTTTCTTCTGCCCGCCTGGGTGGCAAGGTCTTCCTGGCACACGTCTCAAGGCACGTCTTGACCGGGGCTCTTAGTGGACCCACCAACATGGCCATGGGTCAAAAGCCCGTAACCCCGGTGAACATCCCAATCCCCATTAAAAAATCACTAAAATGGGTGATGCACCTACCCCAAAATGGGACCATTGGTGTTGACCCACGGCCACATGGTCTTCCACAAGGGGTGTGGGTGGTAAAGGCTTCAACCTTTCTGGTGGGGGAAGCCGGGGTAGTCTCTCTCCTACGCTATTGATGGGAAACCCAGAGTAGATCACAAACTGACTTCACAATGTGGAGCGCTTGCGGGGTGTTACAAGATCGAGGAGCATCCACGATAGGTTTGAGCACGCTCGTCAGTATGGCTGGAAAATGCGCAAGACACCCAACAAATACATGAGTGTTAGGGACCCAACAAATGGGTGGGTTCTTGTTTGTTTCCCTTCAAAACCAACCAAAAGGATGATCTTCCAGAAAAGATTCATCTGGAGTAAAGCTGATCCAGCATGCCCATATTTTGACTTGCTCCAGGAAGGCTGACAGGCTGACGTGGACCACACCGGAAACTGAGAATTCGCAAAGCCCCACACCGGGAGGAATTGACTTGGCCCGGATTCCAAGTTTGAACTTGCTCTAGGCTTCAATACGTTTTAGCTAGCAGCTTAGAACTTCATAGATTCCCTAAGAGACTTAATTCGGACCCTCCAAACATGCGCTATTGGCTAAAGCGCCGAGATGGCTGCGCCGTGCACAACCTGTTCCAAGTCTGCAGACCCTTGGAATGTGAGGGGGACCTTGGAATCTTCCCATTGCCACTGTCAGAGCCCCTCGCCTCGCTGGACAAGATCCACTCGCCAGGCTGTCGCAGTCCGTAGGTGATGGTCGTGTACCTGCGAATTCCGGTGAAAGAACTCGGAGAATAGTTCACCGCGCAAACCCAACACACAATGTCTGCCAACATGACATATATGCAAACAATAAGGTCATACATTTGTTCACGGTTCTGATAAGGTACGATTTATGATTGGCAGCGACGTTATCAACCTCATTTGTTGCTCAAGTTCATGTGTTCAACATCGTGTCACTTGTTGCGTTGCAGCGTCGCAGATTTATCTTGCCACCCACCAATTAGCTAACATCCTTGTGTTGCACCTGACCAAAAAGGTCCTTGTCAAAGGAGCGTGATCCGAACAATGGGGCGTACAGCCAGTGCGGTTGATGCGAGGATCTCGGACTGCTGCCATTGCCGTTGCTCGTGTTTGCTTGCCTTGGAACACTTCATCTTGTTGGTCCATGGTTACTTCTATATATTGTGGTGTCAGCTTTGTCTTGTCGCCGCTGCTTCTATGAGTGGCTGGCTATGAGTTACACAACGCAGAACAGTGGACATGGGAAGGTTGGTCGCAAAATCGGGAAAACCTCCATACAGTCGTTCTCCTTTGTGGCTTCCCTGTGAAATCAGAAACAAGAGTCCCTCAAAAACCGAAAACACTGCCATCTCCTGATGTCCATAGGGTTCCGAATTCGGATCTTGGCGCACTGCATGCCATCCACGGATTGGAAGCCGAGTACCTGAAGGCCATGGGAGAAAATCCCTTATTCCATTTGGGTCGCTTGCTAAAAACCAAACACGGGCAAACAGAAAGCTGCCCGGAAACTTGAAAGGGACTCTTATGCTGAGAACGGTTCTAGGGGCCAGGGTCCTATGGGTCTCCTGAGTGGATAGAATGCATGTTGCCAAATGTGTGTGTGTGTGTTGCCAGCCTGCCAACGGAATACGTGGCTGCGTGATAAATGTTTGTTGCTGCTGAAATGCATGGCTTGCAGGTTGTTGGCGAGTGGCAAAACTACAGAATCAAGTTGCCAGTAGACTACGTAGCTGGTTGGTCAAAGCTTGTCGACTTGTCCCAGTGAATGCGGCATAAGGTTGGCACCATTCCCTTCAGACAGTGGGAAAACAACTTGAGCATGAGCCAAAGCCACGTCGACCCCCACAAATGATTGGCGCACCACGGGTTCCTTGCCATTTGAAAGCGCAAGGGGTCCCGTGTTCGTGTTCATGGGTCCCATGTTCATGAACAAAGATGCAAAGTTTCTCCAGAGATCCTGGCACTGTGGGCAATTGCTCCGCAAGACACCAACATAATGTTCTACCCTTGTGTCAACCGGGGTAAGGAAACCGCTGAACGGGCATAATCTCGTGGACGACGAGTTGGTGGCTGTAACTTGTCCAGCGGATGTCTGAGCCTCAAAAATGATTTCCACCTTGCCTGCGCCGTTCCAACTATGTCTGCCAGCGACTTTCTATGCGATGAAACCTGCAGCCGGTCAAGATTCAGGTTTGAATGTAGATGGTCAGGCCTTAAAACCCGTCTTCCAACTTGTCTACGCTCCCAACTAAGAGGTTCACTTCCATTTGCTGAAGCTGAAAGAAAACAGAAAACACATATTTCCAGTAGTGCCACATCCCTTGAAAAACCAACAGGGCCAAACAAAAGAACATACTCATTTCAGCAAATGCTTCGGCTCACAAGTCCCATTCCAAGTTCGGCTCTCCCAGCCCGGTAGCGCACACCGCCGCCGCCCGTGTGCTCGTAGGCCTTGAAGTCCTTCAAGGAGAGCAGCGAGTTCCTGTCAATCGAAGCATCGCTCGGCGGGAAGTTTTCGATGACTCACTTCCCGAGTGGAGGGCCCAAAAAAAATCAAACTTTTTTTGAGCTACCACTAAACCGGTCTTCCCAAAAAGTACAAAGTCCAGGAAGTCAGGAAGTGAGATGAGTGTGTGGCCGGGGTAGTTTGAAAACGCGGCAAGGGTCAACAGCCAAATTTTTGCACGGCGTAAAGAGGGCGACAAGCTCTGGCTGGGGCCGGCACGGATCTGATCTCGTGGATTGGACGTTGACTCTGCCAGACGAATCTAGCTTGACCCTTTCTCTTGCCGCCTCTACCGTGGATTGCCTGCAAACTCCCAGTACTTGCTTGTTTTCAGCCATCCAGAGCTCAAATATGCTCAAATAAAAAGCCGGCTGCGCAGAGTTGAGCCTCGATCATTCACCAACCTGACGTTAGAAATGGACCATCGCACCACAAAAGGAACCTTCATGGATCGACTAAGGGCGGTTCAGCTCATGGGATCCCAGGCCAGTTGCAACGAGGACACCAAAAACGAAGCTCACGGGGCATGATGCACCACCCCCGTGGTGAGCCGTGTTGCATTTTGGGACAATCTCCATAAAGGGAAGCCCATCTGAAACATACAGGTTGACTCTCTCGCGAAGCAACATACGAAGCTCAACACGGGAGTCCAGAGCTCGGTGTCTTCGAAGTGATCCTGGGCCGGCAAGCCACTCATTGGCCAGGCAACCAAGAGATTCCAATGGTTCACCAGGCTGACGTACGGTGGATGGACAAAATCCAGCACCAGTTGGTATGCCAACGTGGTTTTATCCCATTTTTTCGCAGAGTATCATCTACCACAAGTGGTGCAGGATGTCGTCCACGGTAGCACTATGCTAGTCAAATCGAGCAGGCAGTCCCTAGCCACTAAGGCCAGGCTTGGCAGGACCCAAGTGAGTCCTTGTTCAACCGAGCTAGGATCTAAATCATGTTCTACCGGCATTTGGGCTGTCTTTCTGTGCGATTTTATTTGGGGGTTCTCGACTTGAACACAAGCCATGGGTTCCCGAAGTGGGGTCGCCCTGGCTCGCGGACCTTGCTGCCAGCTTCTTCTAGGAAAGACTTGGTCGCTGCTCAACCAAGCCACTTTGGCATCGCCCAAACACGAACCCATCTGAAGGTCACAGGATGGTTGGTGGCAGGCTATTTTTTCTCGAAAGGCATTGAAATAACGGCAAACATGCAGGATGTTAGTTGGGGTGCGTTACTGTTGCAAACTTGTACTGAGGGCAACAGCAACTAAATACTGTCACCACCAACTCAAAGAGACCCCATTATTCCAAGGGGACTCTTTTTAAACCAGTGATCACACTCTTCCCTTCCTGACCCGCTCGAATGCTTGGGCTACTCCATCAACAATGATCCCTTCGGCCCCTTTGGCGCTCAAGAACTTCCGCAAAAGCTCGCTTCAAAGTCATTAAACAAAGCACTCGGCCCGGCGGAAAGCTGATGTTAAAGCCATCCACAAAAGGAAACATTTGGTGAACCCGGCGTTGACAGGGCTTCCCCCTTTTTGGACTAACCCAAAAAGGGCGCCAATGCCAATCAAGAATTATTCTGCGAATGCCCACCGACAAAGCCGCGACTTTTCAAGCTGTTTCCTCTAAGTCGTCAGACCCGGGAAGCAACAGCAAAGATTACAGTGGCTCATGGGCGATCGAAACATCCGGTTCAATGCCTGTAATATTGACCCTATATTCGTCAACCCTATTACAGGGGTCCCTGGGTTTTGTGGGGAATCATCACTTTTGGAGGGAAACACCCCCCTATTCATAAAATGGGGTTGATTCATATGGGGTCGACATGGCCATGGGTCAAAATCCCTGTTAGCCCCCAGTGAACATCCCAATCCAACCGCTAAAATGGGTTCCAACATGGGTGGTGCATTCACCTACCAACCAAAATGGGATCCTTCAAAACGGTGTTGACAACCACAGCCACATGAATATCCCCGGGCGGTTCAGAACCGCATCCTGGGCCGCCGGCTGGGTGCCAGAACTCCCGGGTTCGGGGCTCAAAGAGCGTCAGGCGGATCTCAGGTCGACCGAGCCCCCCCGCATTTTTTGCGTCGACGGAGGTTTTGGTGTTGGGATCTTTAACGGGAAGGTGTACCAGAAGGGTCTTAAGGACTTAGAAGCACAAGGAAGCAATGGGCAAAGAACTACGGTTTATGTGTATATAGAATCACAACTAAAAACCATAATTCTATCACATAATTTACTTCTGTAGACTTTGGCATTAATCTCATTCATTAAACTAATGCTTTCTTCATAGGGAATTTGTTGTTGTAATATATCCCATCTGATGTTCATAGTATATATGATTTACTATTTGTGCAAATATTTTACACTTTTTACTCTGAACTTTTCCAACACTTGTTTTATTAGCATATTCTTAGGTTGTATACACTGACTTTGGAGGTTTGAGGACCGTTGTCATGAACAGAAAAAGGGTGAACGGCCGCACCGAACTGGGAAGACTGAAAATCCTGATGGACATTGCGATGTATGGGGGTTTGGAGCCTCGAGGGATACACGCTGATACATCTCCCAGGTGACTGATGAGCTTGGCAAACTGGTCGAAGCAAATCTGTTTCGCGCGGATCCGATTTGTCCACGAGGGTGTTTAGCCTCGAGGGGTACATGTATTGGTAGGCTACAGCCCTTCACTGATAACTCTCCCGCATAACCAATTAGCCCTGATCCGATGTGTCTAGTGAGTGTGGCAAGAGGAAGCTGTTTGGCTTGACCACTTGTTGCACAAACAAAACCGGAACATGGGCGCTGGACATCTGGACGAAGTTCAACCCGAGTGGTTGTGGCAAACACAGAGATGGATTCGTCCTTCTGTGCGTCGATTTTCCTGAATGGTTTGTGTCCTTTGAACGGCATGGCATCTGTTGGCAGGAGCCCGCCACTTCAATCACTAGAGAAAGGACTGTGCCATATTGTGCCATGGGCTGCGAGTTCGGGCCAAGCGCTTTTATGACAAGAAATAAAACGGATTCGGGTGGTTGCTAAGAACCAAACTGAAACCCCCGAAATCCACGTAGCAAACTCACCTAGGACTCCTCAGATTTGCGGAATCGGGTTTGTACATTGACATGTCCTTCAACAACAAAAAAACAAACGTTTGTATAGGCCTTGTGCTGGGCACACTCCCTTGCTCCAACGACTATATAGAGCCACGGTCAAATTTAGCCGCTTCCCTAAAGGATATGCAAAGTTAGCCATCCCGCTAGTATGGGTTGGAAAATTGGATCGTCCCCCGGATGGACCATAGACTGGATAATTTGGCAGGGCCTCAAATATGCGCCATCAATCAAACATGTTAAAACTCACGTGCACCATGGTCCATATGGTTTTGGCTGTCTACATCATCCTTGCTGTCTCAAAATCTGCTGTCTATGCCCATCCAGGGTCTTTTGACAGCTATATGTGTGGTCAAAACTCTTCTGGCCTGTGGTCACAGTTCCCTCAACAGACATCATTATGCTTGCAAGAACCTGTCTACCAGCTGGATGACCATCCCTGATGATCTCCGACGGAATCGCACTGGGCCCACCAGCGTAGCGGCACTTGAAGTGCACCGTGGTCGGCACCATCTGGGCACGGTTAGATGCAGCAAAGGCCCCGGTCCCGGGGGTTGGTTTGGATGCCGAATCAAGCTGTGGTGTCCTTTCTTGCTTGTTGAGTGCTAAACGAATGTCAAAAGCGTGCAAGAACTGGTGGACTCCCACTGTTGGGGCACCCAAATTGATGTCTGGCTCCCAAAAGAGCCTTGCCAAGAGACTCAGGATTCCGAGCCATGTCGTAGGTTGTCGGTTCACAGGAGACCAAAGGGACGCCAACAAATTGAGGTTCCCTACTTTGCGTTCCAATAAGGTGAAAAGACTTGTAGATGCTAGCAAGGCAGCGGGGTGTAAAATTCAAGCCCCGAAATTGGGTGTCCCTTTGGCTTCATTGTAAAAAAAACACCACACCGACACCAAGTATTCTGTTCTGTTCATGAAATGACAAAACCAAGGGAAACCAGCGGGCTTGGGGCGTGGAACTTAGCATGAGTGCTGGACAGCCCCATTGATCCTGCCAGGAATCTTCAATATCATTGCCTATTGCCGCATTGTTTCGTCCTAACGTTGAAGAAGTGGTTGGTCCTCAATCCACCGCAGCGTAGGCTGGCATGCAGCAACCGGCAAGCCAACTGCCTGCAATTGCTATGGCCCCCCGCAATGTCGGTGTCAATGTTTCCCACCAGGCCATATGCCTGGCATCCCAGTGGCATTCGGCAACCTTACCCAAAAAGGGAACTACACGTCCAAAGGTGCGCCCTTCCAGATTTGGCGGCGTGAGAGTGCTAATTTATGAAGCTTAAGGCCGCCTTTGTGGACAGTTGAGCCGCATAAGCAGTGACATGAACAACAACTTGCTTGGACATGGGGTTAACAATTGACGTCCTCGCAACTCCTCTGATTCCAACACACACACACACAAACAAGCATACGCCCAAGTCAAAGGTGTCAGTCAAGGAGCCTTGGGCATGGGTTTCCAAATATATATATATATATATATATATGGGGACCCTCCAACTCTTGGTTTCCCTTCAAACCAACCATCAAATGGGTACACACACACACACAGAAACCCGCAAATACACAAAACACAAACACACAATACACACAATGAACAAGAAGCACACCAAGCACACAAAGCACACTAAGCGCACAAAACACACAAAGCTCACAAAGAACACAAAGCACACAAACACCCAAACACCCAGACACGCAAACACACAAACACACAAGCGCACAAACACACAAACGCACAAACTCACTTAAACACTTAAACACACAAGAGAGTAAACACATATATATATATATATATATATACACACACACACGCCGATACGCCGATACGCAAACACGCAGACACGCAGCAACACAGACACCCAGACACCCAGACACGCACACACTCACACACTCACACACTCACACACACACACACACTCACACACTCACACACTCACACACACACACTCACTCACTCACTCACTCACTCACTCACTCACTCACGCACGCACGCACGCACTCACTCACTCACTGACTCACTGACTCACTGACTCACTGACTCACTGACTCACTGACTCACTGACTCACTGACTCACTGACTCACTGACTCACTGACTCACTGACTCACTGACTCACTGACTCACTGACTCACTGACTCACTGCACGCACGCGCGCGCGTGCGCGCACGCATGAATGGCTGCTTCCTTGCAAACAACGAAGCCATGTTGGATGGCTCGTCCAGTGTCAAAACAAGACAATCTCGAAATTAAGAGGACCCTGTGTTCCCGGATAGTTCTTTTGGCCTCACAGCATTGCTCCCCCAAAGCTGACTTTCTCAGCAAGTTGGTCAGAACCATGTCCAGGCATTCCGCTTGCCACTAAAGTCATATTCCCCAACAGTCTAAAGTCGATAAACTGGGCAGGAGAGATAGGGGTTAATAGAAGGGTCATGATTCAATTTGGCCCATGTTCCCTGACCCCGATCTGCAAGAATTCCCATAATTCACACATCTAAATTGGGAATCTTTAAGGAACCTTCAAGGGTGATCTCCTTCTATTTCAAGCGCAGAGAAACGATGCCTGGCGTAGCTTTTTGGGCCAATCCGGTTGATAGCCCGCGGCTCGACAACCGAATTCGAAATGCTCCCTAACAAGGATTAGCAAGTCTGTGAAAGTTGGGATGTTCATCGAAAAGGTGTCCCAAGGAAGAACCCCTTTCAAGCGGCCCTTTTCACATTGGTCTGCTTTCCAACCCGCGCCAAACGGATTGCACTGATGTTGACACAATTCCACATGAGCCGTGGGCAACATATCGCCCGCAAAATCGCGCTGAGTTTTGCGGGAAGCTCAATGAGTCCAGCATGCCCCTCTCAAATTGATCCTCCACTGGAAATGTTCCGACGGAACAAGGTCTGCCATGCGTCTACATGGTTACCCAATCAAACGTCTGGGCTCCCCCCCTTATTTCTCGCAAATACTGCGACTGTCGGAATTGGTGCCATGCTCCGGCACTCCGGACGCTACGTTGAAGTCCACTTGGGAAGCGTGAGTAATTCAATAAGGGTCCTGGGCGTAGGACTTTAAAAGGCCCATGTTGAACCAGGATATTCTCAGAGTCAAATTGAATCCGGCACAAACACAACCATGGACGTCATACACCTAACAGCACACACACACACACATCTCTTGAAAAGCTTGGTTCCCGCCTTCTGCCAGTTGCTCCGATTGTCGTTGCGGTTAGCATAGTGCACCTAGGAACACTTGCGCCAACACACAGTAACCACTTCACCACAATGCGTGCACCACCTTTCGTCCAGCCTTGGGTTTGCGTCAGAGGAAAACATGAAAGGAAACAACCCTTCAAAGCCGAAACCGGGTACCATGGCCTCAGGGGCAATGGATATCTTGAGACAATTCTATTTGTATGTTCCCCCAAGTTGAATCCATGGTCTGGCGGATTGGGCATAGCCCAGGCATGGTTTGGCTCTGGACACCTGTATCTTAAGCCAAGTGCATCTGGTCACCTTCTCACGTAGCTGGATTCACTGCGTACCTCTTGAGCACTGTCACGTCGCCTTCAACACTATGCTCTGTTCAAAGTTGTTCTGCAGGTTTTGTGATTTCCATTTGGGTGTATCGTTCTTTTTGAGTTCGGTGGCTAAACGAAAGAAGCTATAAGGAAAGCCCCCTATTTGGGGGGGCAAAAAAAGAATCGACACCCCCATTTGTGTCTCAACGTGAGAAGACTTCCTTCGCTGGTCGAAAAGGATGGAAAGGACACCGAAACGGATGTCAGGCATTTGGGATTTGGGGGCTGAATCCGCTGCATCCCAAGGATCCATTTATTCCTTTACGGTTGGCACTTGCTAGCTGGCAGTTAAACTTTGAGACTTTGAGTGGGAATATCATGAAACAATTTGTTTGGCGCCAAAGTCTAAGGGGCATGGCTGGGAACTGCCAAGATTCGAGCCATGTTTTCCAGGATAACCACAAAAAGGGTTCCCTATTAAGAATCACATGGCTGTGGCTCAAAAAACCGGTACCAAAATGGAACCCTGGTAAGTGGAAACATGGACCAAAACCTGCGTAACCCCTCCTGTTTAATTTTGAGCCAGACCCACATATTCTGGGCTGTCCTGAAAGTTCAATCTTTAATGAGCTAAATAGAAACTCCAACTAAACCCTAAAAACCTTAAAGGAAGCTAAAGGGATGGCTGGGAACCGCTTTTTCCAAGCCGAAACGGGTCCCTTAGCAAGTCTTGGAGCTGGCCATTCACCGGGCGGATTCGACGAATCGAACGGCGGAGCCCGAGGCACGTCCACTCGCCCAGCGATGTGGCCAAAGACCCAGGTCATGCCGGCGACCTGAGGCGTGAGCCCTGGACATCTCAAAACCCTACTGGTCACCGGAGGGGGGGGTGGAGGAGGGGGAGGGGCGGGGAGGAGGGGGGTGGGGGGAAGGATGATGGCAGAACTGGTCCCTGGCCATGGCATGAATTTGCCTGGTACCCGCTTCGATGGAAGCCCAAAGGCACATAAGGGCGCTGGGAACTTTTCCATAAAATCGCCTGCATCCTTCCCTAAGCTGAAGGGGTCAGCTACCCCCCATACATTAAGTCATTCCAGTGGCGACAATCATCTATGCATGAAGAATTTGCTTTCCCAAACGGCAGCCTCCCACGGGTTGACTTCCTTCTCAACCCCCCCACCAATCTCCCTCTTTGCCAAACCACCGCTTCTCACCACCTCCCGCTTTTTGTTTGCGTGTTTGTTTCATCAGTTTTGGGTGCTCCCTGTAAAGGCTCCAGCCCGACTCCATCCTCGGAGCGCGGCGTTCCGGGGCCGGCCGAGGTCGTAGATGAGCCTCGCCTCCAGGGCACCGAAGCGGCTGGTCCACTCCGTGCTCCTCGGAAAGGAGACGAAATCTGCGTGGCACCGCAAAAGGGCGTCACCTCAAAGGGGCGTCCCCCAAAGAAGTCAGTCCTTCAAACAGAAGCGCTTTGTTGGGGGGGGAGAGAGGGGGTTGCCTGAGAATCTGAAGTGGATGGGTGTTCCTCGATGTAGCTCCTGTACATTCTTGCTTGGAACCTTGCAGCGGTCTGCAGCTTGTCAAGATCCCTATATGTTGAAAACTACAAGCACACAATATGCTCTAGTGCAAGAAGGGACTGTGTGTGTGTGTTTGCTGTGCCGAGTGATCTCGTTACTCAGCGGTGCGCAGACACCATCTACCTAAACAAAAAAAAACGTGAAACACAAGCGATCCGCCCTTGGCATCCAGTCATTTGACAGTCTGTCATTTGGTTACATCTAAAACAAACCTTTTTCCTCCCGAGTCAAAGCAAAAATGAAAGCTTATGTCAAGAACTGGGCTAGGGCACTAATAGACACGTGGCGCAAGCGATCAATATCAGCTCAATGTGTTATCCATGAGCCATGAGGCATCCATCTCACTTGTACTTAACGTGGAAGCTGGGACAAGAAAGGGGCGTTGGGTCGGACTCTGTGTGAAAAATCGGCCACTCTGGGAGTCAGGGCAAAGCTCAATCAGCCACCTGTTTGTCCGCTCCCTGAACCTGTCGAGTTGTTTGCGAAGCATGCTCCCACCACCAGGTGCTGCTGATACTGTGGATGGACGAAAACCTGCATCACTTTGGATCCATGACAAACCATTGTTGGTTGGTATGTTCAGGGGAATCATCGTTCCAGGGTTTCTTACGAGGTGCAGGATTTCGTCCGTCCACAGTATGACATGGCCCCCTGCTCTGGGTGCCCTGCAGGTCATCATCCACCGTCCAAGAGCCGGGGTACTCCCAAACACCTCAGCCACTGGGAACTGGAAACTGGGACTAAACCATGCAGTGACGGGAGGAACTGGGAACGCGGACAAACTGGGACTGGACGTATATTGTATGTATAGTTTGTCTACATGGCATTCCCGTTTTGCATGCAGCGGCAGGCAACCAAGATCTGCTTCGCAGCCAAGCTCTATCTAATTTTCCGGAAAGAACGCCCAAGCATGGCATAGCACCCTGAGTTGAGCAAGGGCCCTTCACTGACAGAATACAAAGCGGCGAGATCAGCATGGCCTGCATTGACCAACTGGCTTACAGCTCGACAGCCAAGCAACGGGATCCGGCAAGTTGCCTCAAGGGACATTCCGAGGGTCACAACATGGGTATGCTCTAAAACTAGGGATTCCTTAAGTGGATCTTGACAAGAAAGCCGTGGACGCAGACCCAGGCAAAACGAGGGGTCGGGGGGGGGGGGGCTTTTGGCTTGCCTGAAATGTGACTGCTGTCCTGCCCAAGCCAATGTCAGCTGCTCATAGGGCCAACCTTCAGTGATCAGCTGGCCTGCTTGATGGTTGGCAAGGTCGGCCACAGGCCTTTTGCCCCCCCCCGCCCTCCGACTATGTCACTCTTAGTAGCGAGGCAAGCCCTCATAATCATAACCAAAGCCTGGTATTTAAGGATTTAAGGGGTCTAATTTCCATCATGTTAAAGAAGCAAAAGAGCCGCCGTTTCCATTTCAGGCTGGCACTGTCCCTTCCTAACCTTGCCCAGGTTCTGATTCTGGCTCAAAAACCAGCTCAACGATGGCTTCAGGAATGTTGTGCAGCGATTCCAACACCATCAGAAATCGCTCCTTTGCGTACGAACATGATGTTCCTATTCTCACCTGATCTTTGCTTCTGACACATCAACGCAAACTCTGTGATCTGGTCAGGGAGCAACAAACCAGCTTCCAATCAAGCGGTTGCCGGTCGAACAGGGCGCCCCTTCCATTGCATCACCCAACTGAAGCGCGCCGTCGCCCCCCAACTCCGTCGGTGGCAGCCAAAGGCGCTGTCGGTGATAGGCACCTTGCCTCTCACAATGTTCCTGGCGGACAAAACGCAGCCGCAGCGGTGGTTCTCAACAGGCGCCCCTCTAGTTAGCTGGCTTCGTTGAAAATGCCCTTTACCGAACTACAAAAAAGGATTGAACAGGCAACTTACCATCTTGAGACCCCTTGGGGAACTCTATTGAAGGAGGGGGACTTAGATTACATGCAACACGGGCCTCTATTCCTGTCAACCACCGGTGACATACTCTAAAACTCCACCGAACGGTGTGATCTTCATCCCAAACTTGGCAAAAGCGTGGCGGCACTATTTCCCTTGTACCCACAAAACGAGAACGCATTGCCAAAGTCCGAAACCCTCCGATGCGCCCTCTGGTTGAAAGCTTAGGGTTTCCATCGGCGCCTCACATGGCAGGCACAGGCACAGAGACACCCCAAGCACTCAGACTTTCCGACACGCAAACAGAAACACGCAAACAAACACAATCACACAGCCATGCAAACACCCAAAAGGAAACAGGAAAGCCGCCATCTCTTCTCAGAACCAAGGTGAGTAAACCGTCAACTTCCTACCACAGGATGGCCCCAACGTGATAAGGCAGCCAAGCTCTTTGCACCCAAACCCAGCCTCGAACCCCACAGCCCCCGTAACCCTGATTCAGAGAAACCCCCACATGTTGAACACGGGCGTCCGTTAAACCAAAGCGGGGGATGTCTTGGGGCGCGTATCGCACCCCTCCAACAAATCTGAGAGGTTGTGCTTAAATCCGACACGCTTTGTGGCTCGTGGCCCTAGCCTTATAAGGCTCCTCGAAAAGGGTTCCAGAGTGTCAGGAAAAAGTGAAGCCTCAGATTCCCCTCACCCTTTTGAGCCCTTACCATCACAACCAACTTGTGGCATACCCCCGCTCGCACTGATCCCTTGTTTCAAAGACCACCAAAAAAAACGTTGCGGGGGCCACGAGAACTGCAGCACGCCGAAGTCCCGGACGGTGGTGCCCCACTTCCCTGTCTCGGCATCCTGGCGAAGCGGCGACTGCGACAGTCTCGGTCTGCCGGGAAGGTGCCCCAGGCCAGAAGCTGACTCGCACAATCAGATCCAGTGTGTCCGTGAGCTTGCTCCTCTTGGGGGTGTTTCCCTTGGTTGGCAGCACGGGGCTTACTACCAAGAAGCTTCCACCTGAAAAGTTGCAGATTGAAAGCCCAAACCACAAAGGGCCTCTAACAGGTGGCCGAGAGAGAGACACTGCCCAACATCTACAACTCGGGAATACTCGGGAATTATGCGGGTATGACAGTGGCAGGTTTGCTCGAAATTGCAAGTGTAGTAGCCACATCCAACCACGGCCTCCTGGTAATTGCGATAAATTCCAGGGTCCCCTCTTCCCCTACTTGCAACATGTTGGTTGGCCACATAAAAGGATTTCCTGCAAGAGCTCCGGTCGCGCAAACTTAATTCACGGATAGAGCTACACGGATAGAGCTCGTCCGACCACCATCTTCGCTTATCCTCCAGCCGAAACTTTATGAGACTGTTGGGTACCCTACAAACCACCTCCCCAAAGAACCCCTGAACCATTACTTCATAAGCCTGATTGAGGCCAAGCAGAAGGCTGTAGCAAGGGCCAATGCCGGCCATAGGCCTGGCAGGGGTGTCTTTGAGGGAGGACTTGAGTTGTTTCCATATCACTCCAAGGGTGCACCAACTGGGTAATCCCAAGGGTGAAGCCTGTTGCTTGTGCATGGCGCTAACAAGAGGGAGCGATTCCAAGGGTGCACCTCCTGTGCTCTTGGGTCTCTTAGCCTACCAGGGGCAAAGCAAAGGGCACATAGGTAGCTGTTGCAGATAGGACCCCCTTTTGGGGACTCTTTTGGGAGACTCCACACGGAACGTTTTTGCCGTCGCTGGCTGATATGTGTTTTTGATCGGATGCCGTTGAAGCGGTTCGAGTTGAAGGCAATTTTGAGGGTTTAGGATGGTGCTCTTGCTTGAAAAAGCCACAGCACGGCATTGGTCCGTGTTATTCGCAAACATCTGCTCACTGACTCAACTCTATATCATTGACCCCGAGAACCTTCCATAATATGTTCCACTGCCCGAACATGGTACTCTTGTAGGCTTGCATGTATCCCTTGAGGGTCAGCGGAAATGCTAACAGCGAAATTGGCTTGGCTGCGGTTGCCTTTCAATGGACAAACGAGAAGCACACCGGGTAAATGCATTCACCTATGTTTAAAGTTTAGGTGTCTCGGAATGCGGTAACTCTTCCAAACGGCTGGTTTCCTCTCGGCCGCACTAAGCTTGCCCTAAGCATCATTGGATCCTCCCGTGGACGGGTCGGGATCCCCATTGACAGGATTTGGACCTCAAACATGTCCGTTTTGAGGTCCCAAGATTCTTAAGCATCCACATTTCATGTGGATAGAACTCCGGCGCTCGAGAGGGCGCACGACTTTTTCCTTGCTCGCCGGTTCGCATGTGGCCATCCTTAGCCACATAGGCCTCCCCTGCTTGGAAGTTGTCCCAGTCTTTCCTCACTTGGTCAAAATATTATGGGGGATCACCCCCATCTCGCCTTTCGGGGATTGTTTAGGACTAAACTTGTCCAAAATTGGCTAAAACGCACGGTTTTAGCTGGGCTTCATTCTCACGCATCTGGACAAATAGTCAAAACAGACTTTGAAGCCACTGAGATTCATGACGCTGTGGTACTTGGCATTGTGGGTGATCAAGATGTCCTTGAACAGAGATAGGCTTTTCGCTGTTCAAGCAAAATCAAGCACCTTTTGTGTAAACACCCTCCTTTTGGTATTCCCTTCAAAGGGGACCAAACAAAAGTAGTTTCAATATTGGTTGTTATAATGAATGTGGTTCCCCCTTAGAAACCCCATTTGGCTTCCATTTAACGATCGCTCAAATTCAACGTCCTGGAGCCCGACCGAGGCAGGATCAGTTTCGAGTCGCCGTGCTTGCTGCACGAAGTGCCGCCACTCCGTCTTGGCTGAGGACGGGGACTTCCTGAGAATTGCCATGGCCAAAGCTATGGTTTAGCCCTAAGAATCACTGGACCCTCCATTTGAGGGAAGGGTCCGGACCTCAAAAGGAGTTTTTCGAGGTCCCAATATTCTGGAAACTAACCCTACCCCCCGTGAATACTGATCCGAAACTAACCCTATCCCCCCTCAAGGTTGCAATTTGTTCTGAGCCAAAAATATCAACTGGTTAACCAAAAGCCCCCTTGTCAGGGATGTCCTTGGGCTGCAAAAGGAGAAATGGCGCCCAACATGAGTGATTCGGAAAAACAATGATCTAGGATGAAATGGCTCCAGCAATGGATCTTGGGGAGGGGAATCTTTTGGGATCCTGATAATTTGCCGGGGTTCGCCGCAATCACGGGCTGGCCCTCGCGCAAGCTGGCGGACAACCGCTGCAGGTCAGAATTGTCCAAGAAGGCGTGGCTAAGGATCAGCAGGACCTGCACCAAGTTTCGGGGGAGACAGTAGGGCTCCACACCGGGTTGTAGTAAGTTTCGCCCTCATTTGGGGTTGGCGCCCACCCACTACAAAAAGGTTCACGCGCACTTTGGTCAGGAGAGACATTCATTCGGGCTTCCCACAAGCAAACATCCAAGCACCCCCACCACATGAAATTTGGCTAATCGCCTGCAACTAGTTTCTTAGACACTGGCGGCCCTTCTAAGAAGGTTCTCAGAACATGTCCTTACGGGTGGGCAGTGCTTGGGTTCTTCCACGAAGGTTGAAACAGGTCGATTCCGCCTCTATGAAGAATCAGCGCAAAGGCACCTTGAAGTGGAATTCCTGATGGGTGGGCCGTAGTGTCCTTTGATTTGTTTGCCATAGTTGGGCCAAACCCTTGTTTAAACATGTTCAAACATATCTTGTTTAAACCACCTCCTCTGGGTATCTGTGCAATTTGAAGGAGACGCAACGTTTTAGTTGCTTTTAAACAATTGTGTTACTTTGGGTGAGAAAGACCTACCCTGGCCTGCACGTAATTGATCAAGGTCTTGTAGAACATGGCGCTCACACGCGTCCCTGTCCTCGCCAAGGGTCTGAGACCATGGGTGTCTAACTAGGGATTCGCTGCAGGAGGGGGGGGGGGGGTTCTCCGAAGTCAGGGGTTTTCTTTGTGCTTCCCCTTTAATCAAGCTGAAATGGTATCTTCAAAATCACGCACTCCCAAATGGGCAAATCTGCTGTTCAAAGCCGCCAAGCAGGAGTTGAAGATCAATGAGTCAGCCAAAATCTCTGTGAAGAGTCTGATCCAGAATGCGCAGGCAACTTGCAGGACGCCCGGCCAGAAGGTGAGCCCTCGCGTAGGCTTCATACTGCAAACTGCTCGGTCTGAGACCGCGTGACATCATCCTGGGCCAGTCTTGGGAACAAAAGGGCGGCCCTTTGTTTCATAGGAGCCAAACCCCCCCCCTCCCCCTCTGTTTCCCCCAAATGAGGCCTTCATGAGGCCTGTTTTGAGGCCTATTTTGGGAGCCACAGTTGAAGCGGGGGTAGGCGAGCAAGCCGTTGGAATGTTATGATGTTTGTGGGTTGACCCCATGAGTACCGCCAACATCGACCAAGATTCATTCCTCTGCTCCAAACCCACCCGGGGATCGCAGAGCACTGGATTGACCCCGTGGCTGTCACTGTTGGGAGAACAGGAAGCTGGGTCCATCAAAGTACATCCTCCGAAGTATCCTCCACATGGCGATTTAAAGGGAAAACGCCCAACAAAGTGTTCTTGAAAACCATAGACAGTCCCACCCGGCAAAGCCTCCAAGGAGGTTGCAGGGTATGGAGGCCAAACGGCAAGGCTCGGATCTTCGGGTTCCGGACACCACCTATTGAACAATATCCTCTTGGTTTCCCTTAGGGGCCAGACTCTGGTTGTTCAAGCATATCTTTGCCCAACCGCCCAATTTGGGTCGTTGAAACCAATTTTACCCAATATGTTCAAAGTTTACAACCGTCCTTTCGGCTTCCCTTTCAAGGTTGTTCAAACCGCTGGCTGACTCCACCTGAGCCACAATATTAAAATGGTCGACCCAGAACCATGTAAAGAATTAAGAAGGCGGCCGCAGCTATTTATGGTTGGGATTGTCCCTTACCAGCCTGCATCTACCCGGGTTTTGATTGTGACTCACCTAGTCCCAAACACATTTTGCACGTCTGAACCCGCCCCAAACAATTGCAGCTGGGCGTCTCCCCCCAAAGATCATCCGCACGGCGCCAGTTGCTGTCTGCGGCAGTAAGCAACCCGCCGAAGAACACGGGATCCAACCTGGTCGTAAGCACCAAACATTTTGCTGTTTGGTGAGGAATTACACGTTTGAACAACGTGGGGAGATTGAAATTTGGACATGTTTGCTGGTTTTCCCCGGAAGTAGTAGTTGCCGGGGAATAGAAACTTGACAGTTTCGCTGATTAGACATTTTAACACGTTGGTTGCTGGAAACAGGAGTTCGATCATATTGCTGGCGTGGTGGGACTACTCGTTGAAACGGTTGAACGCTTTGCTGTTTGTCGCGGAAATAGACACTCAAACAAGTTGGGGGGGTGCTAAATAGAAACTTACAGATCTTGTATGTTGCGTGTGGCGGGTTGCTGGGGAAATAGAACTTAAACACGATTTGAGCACAACGTTTTGCCGCTTGGTGGGGAACACAAACAATTTGATGGTTGCTTAAAAACATCAATTCAAACAACCTGTTGTTGGTTGCTGGGGAAATATAACCTTGGACACGAGCCGGCTTCCTCGGAAAAAAATACTCGTGAAGCGAATGCTGGTCGTCGGAGGAGCAAACAACATACAATTGTGCTGGTTGCTGGAGAAACCTAACTTACGTAACTTAGTCCACCAGTTTGTCCGTTGCCGGGAAAATGTAAATTTTGAACGTGTTGCCGTTTGTTGGAGACAACACGCATGTGAACCTTTTGCTGGTTGCCGGGGACATAGCAACTTCAGAAAATTTGCAGTTGGTGGGAAAACAACCATTCAAACATTTGCTGGTTGCTGGGAACATGTTAAACAAACATTTTGATGGGGAACTGGAAGTTGGGCTGCTTGGCTCGTTGGCATTTGCAGGTTGGGAAAATAGCAATTGTGGACCAAATTGCCTTTTGCCGGGGAAGGAGTAACTTGAAACAAATACTGCTTGCTTGGGAAAGGAATATTTGTCAACTTTTCTGGCTGGTGGGGAAACGTCAATCCATGTTGCAGGTCGGTGTGAACACATACATTCAAGCAGTTGCCATTTCCTGAAAAAGTTCGAACTGAAATTCGAACGTGATGCTGGGGAAAAGTGACATTCTTTCAAAGTAAAAACACTGGTGAAACAAACATCTACATAGGCTTTACTGCTATCTGAATTAAACACCACCTACAACAAAATGGGCAATGGGGGGTTTGGGCGCTGATCAGTTGAAGGTCATTTCAAAGCGCAACCTAGCAGCTGCAGGCCCTCATCCAGCATGCGTTGAGACAAAGCTGCAACTGCGCCATGCTGCTGCTTCTGCTCCAGAAGAATTGCCTCGGTGAAGCCATGGGGGGTTCTCCATGACCCCTTGTAATTAGTTGGTACCTTCTACAGCCTTCAAGGGAAGGGAAATCAAAGGGAACAAACCATGTTGGGGGAGCCCTAGCACGAGAAACACACACAGGAGTCACAAGCAAGACCCGGAATCCATTTACCGAACTCCCATGACAAAGAATCCAAACGTGCGAATATCAGCACCTATTAGCTGAGGCTGGCCCTCTCTAGCCTACACCAAAAAAAAACAACAACTGGCCAGCCCATGCTGGTTTTTGGGGAATGGCAAATCGGACATGATCCATCCTGGCGGTCGGTTCTATCAACCCAAATGAGAATAACACGCTGCAGGGATTCTCTGATGCCTCAATTTGGCCAGGGTCAAAATCCCGTACCCCCGAGTGAACATCGCAATCCCCACTAAAATAGACTAAAATGGGTGGTGCACCTACCCCAAACTGGTGCCATTGGTTTTGACCCACAGCCATTTGAGTCGGGTCGGTCTTTGCTCCTAGCCTGGGCAGAGTAAGCCACTATGTCCTTCTCGTGGCGCTGCTTTTCAGCCCAGGCCCACAACCGCTCCCCCCAGTCGAAGGCTTCCGCGCTGCCGACGGTGCTGCAGAGTCTCAACGCGGAAGACAACACGCAGTTGAAGTCATCCTCCGTCTTTGGGAAAAAGGGCGCCCTAGGTGGTTTAACTTGTATCGTGGCAACCCTTGAACCAACAAAAAGGAAATTGGGGGATATAAGAGATGCCCAAACCAAGAGTTCGACCGTTTGCCAACCTTCACACCTTCCCCAACAATGAAAATCATTCCACGTTTGCTAGTGATGGTCGATATCATGGTTTAGACGACTTGTGCATGTACATACACTAGTATACATTGTAATTATATGTATACATATAATACATGTATATTTAGTTTGAACACAGGCATGTCCGAAACCGTCCGCGAGCCATATATATATATATATATATACTATAATATATATATATATATATATGTATTATATTATATATACATATGTAGCAGCCTGTGCTTTGGCTGAGCCCCGTCCTTCTTTACCAATGGCCGCTGCTTCCAAATCTGCTTCCCCAGGCGCAATGCTTCGTGCTCCCGGGCCAACTGCTTGATGCGGTGGGACTCGTTGCTCCAGGATACCCACCACGGGCTCAAACAACATGCCAGCGCTCTCAAGCATGCGCTCCTTGCAATCTAATCTTAAGAACTTGGATTTTAAGAGTATGCTGTTGGAACCACGCGTAAGCATAAGGCCCACTGGAACCAAACAACTATGTAATCTCAAGAACCTGCTTTTTGGAGAGTAAGCTTCTGAGACCCTAAGCATTGACATGTATAACAACTCGAAGCACGGTGATAAGCGTGAATGCACTTAGTAAGCTTTTGGTGCTGTAAATGAACATAGACAAACTAGAAAACACAAAAGGTCAAAGGTTCCATGCGCTTTACAAGTGGGACTCTGATAGACGGTGTCGGTGGAGCAATCAAGCTTAGCCTGAAGCTCCAAAACCTTTATCAAGGCATCCCACCAGTGGGCATACCCACACTTCTGCACTGCAGAGGTCAGAACGCTGACCTCCAGCATGCTGTGTTCCTCGGCGCTTTCCAGGCACTTCAACAAGTGGCCCGGCGTATTGCACTCCTTGAGCTTCTGTCGGATTGCGCCAGCCCGGAAGCTCCGCGCGCCTGGATTGTTGCGCTTGCTGGGGTCTGTCGGTAACAGGGCCACGTAGCCTCGCGACCCTTTTCCTGTGGGCCGATTGTGGCTGGTCCTCGTGAGCATGCGGCCGGCTTGGGCGTAGGACATGTTCTCAGAGCGCGAATGACTGCGCACGGCGGTGATTGCCAAAACCGAGGCCAATGACGCAGAGGTCGACCTGGTCAGCCCTGCCAAGCGATCGCATTCACCGCCAGACTTGGAAAATATCCTTGGAGGTGCGAGTGGGGCAGAAACGAGCCCGACTGATGGGGCCAACATGGCTGCCGGCTTGCAATGTGTGTCTGTTGTGCTTGAACTTGTGGGACATGTGCGGAAAACGCGCTGGAAAGCGGAACACGTGCAAAAATCAGATGAACGCGTTCCTGGAAAAATGCGCACCCAGAACAATGGTGCTTGTCCTTGACACATTGATCTAGATGTTCTCCCAATGAGCCTGACAAGTTCCACTTGTCAGTGCCGGAGCTGAACAGAAGGTGCTTCCGGCATTGCATTGATCCATGCAAGGTCACCATGCCAAAACAAAGCGGTCAATGCAAATACGCGGCATCTTGCGGGCACTCGCAAAACAAGCGCCGCGTCCTTGGGTCAGGTGTAGGTTGGGTAGATCTCCAACCAAGGGGTTCGATTCAGAGGGAGTGTGACTGATTTCACATTCGCGTTGGTGTTCCAATGAAGCCGAGATGGCTCTTAGTGCCCCGTGCAGTGCAATGGCCACACGTTCAGGTCCCCTTCCAAAGAGTTGGTGGTCTTAATGTCGACCCTGAATAAATCAGCCTGCTGGAGCTAACAGAAGTGTTTTCGCAACAAAGTGAAGTATTCCCTCTTACATCAACCACCCCCTACTAGTCGACAAGGGTTTTGCCAATCTGTTTTTCCACTACAGCGTGAGGCTTGCAAGCACCCACATACGTGACCCAACCGAACTTCAACAGCGTAGCCAACAATTTATGGCAAGGATTTCAGGATCCAGGCGTCCCAGGGAGTCCCACTGTACATGTCATGGCTCTGATTGTTCAGTATGACGTAACAAGAAAGAAGCTGGGACTGCTCCTGGGAAAAACTCGGAAATGACACAGGTCTCCACAACAGGAACCTTCATTTTGTTGGAGGTCGCAAAATCCATTTGCGAGGTCGCTGAAATCTGCCCGTGGACACGTCAATGAAAATGAGGGATTTCCACGTAAATGGACTTTGGATTTCCAGGTAAGGACCTTCATGAGTTACCCATTTGGAGAGCTCGTCGAAATCTGAATCCGGACTTCCATCTCACAAATCTGTCACTTGGAATCAGCATGTCTGCGTGGAAAGCCCAGTTCAAAGCATATGCATTCAACTGACCAAATATGGCTGACAAATACATCACCAGCTTTCACAATTTGGTTTGACAGGCATCCCTTAAGACTTCATATCTTTTACCAACAGCCAGGTTTGTGCTTGATTTCCTTCAAACACCAAAGGCCAAAGCAGCCCCACTCCGCTTTTCGTTCTCCGCTTCCCCAGCGCCCAATACCGCGCCACATACCCCGCAGAATTTCCCCGCCTGGAAGCCCCGCTGCACCCACAGCGTGACGTACCTGTGGCTGGCATGGGCCTTTCCGTGGGTCAACACGTGTCTTGCGGAAAGGTGATCCCCATACAAATGCAGGGCCACATCTTCGGCAGTCTGCAAAGGGGATATGAAACCAGTACGAGGTCCTGAACAATCAAACATGGAACACCAACCATACTCAAATGACTTTGATGGGGGGGGACATAAAGCAAACATGGGTGCTGGAAAGCAAACGACGCAAGCACCACGCTGTTCTGGCTCGCCCACAAGCTGCTGGAGGTCCCGTTCCGTTCCCTGGCTTCGCTAGCTTCAAGAAGCCAGCTGCCAGCTACGGGAGGCTGTCCGAACTTGTTGAATATTTTTGGTTCAGTATACGTCAACAAATAGCAAGGACCCAGCCCATCTTGGGTGGAGTTGGAGCCCGTGCGAGAAGTTGCAAGGCGTGCTATTTCGCAAGAACACGTTGTGTTTCCCGAAAGGGTGGGTTCAAACCAAAGACTTAAGCTATGCCAAACAGCCGGGCTCTTGTCTCACGATTGACCCATCCAAGTTACATCTGGCAAGGGCTCCTCACCACCCGATAGGCACCTTTCAGCTTGGATCGTCCAGCCCAAATAAGCTCGCCTTATATTGTCCAGCAAGTAAGATTCATGTCGTGCTGGGACTTGCCGGGTGTCGAAACAACCCCATTGGTCTGGCTAAACTCTAAACAAATCAGTCTCAAAACCAGAATAGGCTATAGGGTTTAGGTTTATCTTTGTTTCCTTGTGAGGCCAGTGTGTGCTCCGAAACCCTTACACCTGTTTCCCTTTGTTTAGGTGCTTCCCCAACGAAATTTCAGAAAGTCCCAGCCAGGGAGCTAAGCCAACGCCAACTCCCGCTGAAGTCGCCTGTTGGGCTCGCTCGCCCGCCTCGCCCGCCTCGCCCCAAGACCTTGGGGCGCACCTCACCTGGAAGGTGAGACCCTTCTCCTGGCAAGGGTCAAGGGAAACCCCTCGAAGAATTGGTGAAAATTCCACGCAAAATCAAAAAACAGACATGACTGAAGGTCAGGAAGTTCTGGGATACACAAAGGGCGTTGTATAGTTGGGGCACTCCCTGCGAATGTTGTGGGGTTGAGAGGGAGTCAAGGTCAAAAGGTGAGAAGCCGGATTCAGTTTTAGCACGTGGCCTTTGACTCTCTTCCGAGCTCGTCTCATCTTGCTGGCCTCTGGTGCCACACAGTCCCATGTATCAACCTCTCTGAAAGAGATCCCATGTGTCTTTGGTTGCATCTGATGAGGCTTCTTCCTGGGCGTGGTCCGCCTATCAGCCAAAACCTTTCCAAGGTCTTGAGACGCTATGACCTACAAGGGCTTTAATTTTTGCAACTGCTACAACTCACCAAAATAAACTAAGGAATCCCTATGTGGGAGTGGCCTCTTCGTCAAGGGTGAGCTCATTTTGTTGCTGGTGAGATCACTTTATTGTGCAGACTGAAAGGGGCAGGGTACTTAGTAAGTGGTTAGTAAGCCTGGTTATAACCCAGATAGAAAACTTGTAATTAACCATGTTAAGTGGGTTACAATCAGGCATATTTACCACTTAGTAAGTACCTTGCCGCTTTAAGTGGACGGCTTCAGGGAAAGCTTGCCTAAAACAGAGGTCTCTCTCGTTCTCTCAAAATCAGTCGGCGCCGCCGCTAGCGTCAGCAGTCCCAGCACGTTGCCGCTTGAGAGCGGTTTCTCGATGTAGTTCACCTTGGCACTCCAAAAGGTTGAGGCTGAATCTGCGTTAGGGCAAAAGGAGGGGCTTGCCCGTTGAAGGGGAAAGGCCTTTTGCTTTTTCCTTTCGTCCCCAACTTCTGAGGTTTGTCTTAAAATACGGGAAACCCCCAAAACAAAAGGCCAGTTTCCTTTTGGTTTCTTCTCACACACCAAACAACAGGGTGTTCTCCGCCAAAAACACACATGCATACACACCTTGCCGCACGGCGCTTCGGCTCTAAGGCACCCGACGGCATCCTCGGAGATGCTGAGGTACACCACCTGCCGCGCGCGCGCTCGCGCGTGCGCTGTCGCGCCTCAAAGTCTGAAGCCTCACGCCTGTGGCACACCCGGCGTTTGGTTCTACTGAGTTGAACTGGTTTGTGTGTATATGCGTCTATGATTTGCTGGTTTTACAAGCAAAACACCTTGAACAACGCCCCTTTTTTCTGCTTACCCGGATGGCATGTTCATGTACTTTCGCACATGTCTGCTGAGCACGGACTTTTGACAACTAATCATATGGAAGTCCATATCGATACTGTAGTATGCGATAGCAACAGGTATGTCACGCCCGGTTTTCACCTCTAAGGCCTCATTCAGGCCAGCACCTGCCCTGTTGTCAGTGGACTGATTGCAATTTTACATGTGCTAAGGCTAAGGTCGAAATTCCTGTGGTCCTGGTACTGATTCCCTCGTGGAAATGTCATAACTGAAGTCCCCTATGGTTGCCTTTCAAGCCAGCAGGAGAAATAAAACTATTCTTAAGTAGATCGAAGCAAACGTCCTACTGGTAGGCGGCCTGCGCACGCCACCCGAAGTAGATCTCGATATCAGTGGCATTGTACACCTTGCCCAGGTCGACCCTGGCAGCGGCAACAGCGGCTGGCGGTTGCGCCAATCAATTCCAGTCCAGCATGATAAAGCAGTGCCAGGTGCTTCACGGTGCAAATTCACACGTAGACCCCAGAAAGGCATCCAAAAGGACTGGCTTGGTCTTCGACCCTGAAGCCACAAGTTTCCTGTTCATCAGCTTGGATTGCTTGATTATTTCCGAGGTTCATTTTGGGATTTTGGGGCTTCAAATCTTTTCTTGTCGAGAACAGCCCAGGTTTTCGATCCCCGAAACGCGGTGGGACTGCGAGATGTAGATGTTGTCTCCATCGAAGAGTGGAGGGCCTGGGGCCACGGATCTACGATATTCCGAGGGTGTGCTTCACTTCTTTCGGGTGGATGGATATTGGCGACACCGGGTCCGTCCACTTTGGTGCGATATCGGGGAATGAGAAATGGAATGAACCTTATAAACCATCTGGTGTCCTTTCAAGGACCAAAACCTGGGTTCACATTCCCTACTGACCAGCAAGTTGATCTCCAAAACTCACCAAAAATGGGTACCCACATACGGCACACAAGAAATGGAATCTCCAAGTAGGAAAAGTTGAAGGGGCTTTCTGGTGACAATCCCAGGCAAGCGTGCTATAAATTGCCCCGAGCCTTGTTGAGGTTGTTTCAACGCAAACCAAAGGAAAATCGGGCATGCTAGTGGAATGTGTCATTTTAAGACAAACCCACATTGGACCTAGTTGGGAATTGGATCATAATTGAGGCCAATGCCATGTGTCAAGAGCCACAAGGGACGTCTAAACCTGCGGTGGCCATGAGAAAAGATGGCGGCCTTTTTTGGTACTTGATTTGCGTATGAGTTTTGGACATCCTTTAGGTGGGGATTCATGTCACAATGTCACCAACCACTTTACACATGGTTCCCTATGGCAAATTCATGGCCATTCGTGTCAACTCCTATGATTCAACCTGGTTGCAACAGCCGATACCCGGTCCACGGTGTGAGGTTGTACCAGAGAGCGCTGAACAACCGATAGGATTTGAATGCCAAGGCATTGAGCCCTCTGGTGACCTGTCTTCTTCGGCACGTTTTCGGTCGCATGGGCACCTACTTTCAAAGTGGCCCTTGGAGTCATTTTGCGCATTTGCCTTAATAGTGCGTTGCATTGAACGGAGATTTCAATTCTGGTTATTCCCTTCTTGAATGGACGTATGGGCCCAAAGCTTCCGCCTTTCAGCCAGTGAACAGTGACAACTCTAAAGCCATCAAGCTGCTGTGCTGATCAGATTTACATTCATCTTATATATGTATTTTACTCATACGTGTTTCTAATATTATATAATAGACTATATATATATGCCATATTGGGGTGTAGGTGTACCCCCCCCCCCCCACCCGCAAACAAGAAACAACAACAACATTAACCCATCACTGCCATTCGCAGTTTGGGCTGACAGGGAAGCTGCAGGTGGGATTGCTGCAAACTGGGGGTGATGAGGCTGTTCGGCTGCGGGGCAATGGGTGTGTCCTTTCTAGAGGAGACCCTTGGTCCGAAAGGAAGATAGGGTACAAGCCGAAACCCCCCACACAAGCGAAAACAATAAAAAGAGAAGCAAACACCGCCTGTGTCACTGAGGCACGGACCCATCCAGTAGGAATCCTGCCATCGGCTCCAACCAAAACGCCCTGCTGATCCGTCGAGATTCTGCGCAACCAAAGCTACAACTCACGACTTTTCGCTAAGCAACGAGCGACAACCATTCTTGTGGGAATCCTTGGTCCCCCGCATCGGTTTTAGGTGTTTTGAGGTCAAAAAGGCGGGTATCGTTTTTGGTTGGTCCCCTATCCGTTTTGCGCGATTTTGCTAACCCCGTGCCCCGAACACTACTGATGAATTTGTCGGATACACATGTAGCAATAAGTCTGAGATGGCAAAAACAACAAACACATTGATCATTAAGCACCTAAAACCGATGGGGACCAAGGATTCCACAAGAATGGAATGGACCGATACCCCCCTTTTTGACCTCAAAACAGTGGGAAACCGTAAACCAGGTCAGCCAGGCCCTAGGTCCCCTTCCGCGCGGCCGGGCCCCAGCCCTGGACGCAGGCCTTGTCAGGATCCACCATGTATTCCGGCACCGCACTCCAGGGGTTCACGTCCGGCTCTACTGCGTTGGGCAAGGAGTAGGCGTATTTGTAGACCTGAACAAGAATCGAGTTGATCCGCTAACGGCCGCAAGGAGATGCTTCTCATAATGGGTGTCTGGTCACCATATTACTCTGCGGGGAAGCACTTGTTAGGAGGGACTATGTGAAAGGTCTTTGTCTGTGTATTGGGAATGTCCACCTGGGATTAGTAAAGGGTCCCCTCCTAACAATGGGGGCACCTAGAATGATATCTCGAGATCCAGTTCAATTGAGTTTCCATTTGGATTTGGTATTGCTGGAGCTTCTTTTTTTGATCGAGACTTTGAGGAGGGGCCAGGCAACAAAACTGTATCGTAGGGGTCCCTGAAATCCGCCGACCCCTTTCTCCAAAGGGGAGGCGCATGGGAAGGGCTTGTGATGTTGGGTGATGGTTCACAGCATCCGGATCATCATCAATACCGTGGCGCTCTTTTTTCATATGCGTTTCAAGTGTGCCGTTAGACCTGACTGGAGATGCAGATGATGCGTTGTCATGATAAGTAGCTGTGCGTAGTGATGACGTGAAATGCTGATAATGAGGATGCGTAGTGATGATTATCATCAGGGTGATGAACATGAAGATGAAAATGATGATGGATGATGATCATGATAAACATGATAATGAAAGTGATGATGGTGTTCATGTTCATCGTGTTGATTATGATAACTGCTGGTGATGCTGAGGATGCGTAGTGATGATTGTCATCAGGATGATGAAGATGATGATGAACATGATGAGGAACATGATCATGTTCATCATCCTTCATGCTAATCCTCACTACGCATCCTCAGCATCACCAGCAGTTAACGTCACTATGCATCCTGAGCATCAGTCAACAACAAACAACAACAAACAACAACAACCAACAACTACAACAACAACAAAAGAAAAACAAAGACGGACCAGGACCATTTTCATGTGTTCTCCTCATGCTGCTCTGTTTTGTTGTTTTTCTTGGTGTGTCACCAGCACGATCATGATGATGATGATGAACACAACGATGATGAACAATTATGTCATCATGTTCTGACCCTGCTCATTATGATGATGAAAGTGCTGATGGTGTTCTTCTTCATCATGTTCATGTTCATCATCATCATCATCAGTCACGTTAATCATCATCATCATCATCATTTGCATCATCATGCTCCCTCATCATGTTCATCATCGCTCTTCTTTTTCAAGTGCCGTTCGACCCGACTGGAAATGCAAAGGATGCGTTGTGTTGACTGCTGCTGGTGATCATGTTCATGCTTATCATCGTTCATCCTCATCAATCATCATTTGCATCATCATGTTCATCATCCTGATGACGATCATCACTACGCATCCTCAGCATCACCAGCAGTTATCATGACAGTCGGGTCTATTGGCAGACTTGCAACGATGATGATGATTCATCATCATGTTCATGATCATCATCCGTCACCATTTTCATCATTTTCATGATCATCATGTTCATCATCATGAGTATCATCATCCATCATCGTCATCATTCTCAGGATGAGGACCATGATGATGAAAATGATGATGATGATGTGATGACAATCATCACTGCGCTCAGCATCACCAGCAGTCCTCATGATCATAATAATCAGCATCATGTTCATCATCGCTCTTCTTTTTCCTTTTCATTCACTACGCATCCTCAGCATCACCAGCAGTTATCATGACAATCATGACAACGCATCATCTACATTTCCAGTCGGGTCTGAGCAACAACGATGAACACCACCATCATCACTTTCTTTCATCATCATACTCATCAGGATCATCATCATCGTCATCATCATCATTTTCAACATCATGTTATCGTTCCTCATCGCTCATCATCATCATCGTCATCCTGATGATAATCATCACTACGCACAACGCATCCTCTGCATTTCCAGTCAGGTCTAGCGGCACACTTGAAACGTACATACATACATACATACATTGCATTACATTACATACGAACATACATACATACACTACATTGAATGACATTACAATACAATACAATACATTACATACATAAATACATACATACATTCATTACGTACGTACACACATACATACCATACATACCATACATACCATACATACCATACATACATACATACATACATACATACATACATACATACATACATGCATACATACATACATTACATACATACATGCATACATACGTCCATACATTACATTACATTACATTAAACTACATTACATCACATACATACACAGATGCATACACAGATGCCATACATACATACATACGTACATACATTACATTACATTACATTACATTACATTACATTACATTACATTACATTACATTACATTACATTACATTACATTACATTACATTACATTACATTACATTACATTACATTACATTACATTACATTGCATACATACATTACATACATACATACATACATACATACATACATACATACATACATACATACATACATACATACATACATACATACATACATACATACATACATACATACATACATACATACATACATACATACATACATACATACATACATACATACATACATACATACATACATACATACATACATACATACATACATACATACATACATACATACATACATACATACATACATACATACATACATACATACATACATACATACATTACATTACATACATACATACATACATACATACATTACATACATACATACATACATACATACATACATACATACATACATACATACATACATACATACATTACATTACATACATTACATTACATTACATTACATTACATACATACATACATACATACATACATACATACATACATACATACATACATACATACATACATACATACATACATACATACATACATACATACATACATACATACATACATACATACATACATACATACATACATACATACATACATACATACATACATACATACATACATACATACATACATACATACATACATACATACATACATACATACATACATACATACACATACATACATACATACATACATACATACATACATACATACATACATACATACATACATACATACATACATACATACATACATACATACATACATACATACATACATACATACATACATACATACATACATACATACATACATACATACATACATACATACATACATACATACATACATACATACATACATACATACATACATACATACATACATACATACATACATACATACATACATACATACATACATACATACATACATACATACATACATACATACATACATACATACATACATACATACATACATACATACATACATACATACATACATACATACATACATACATACATACATACATACATACATACATACATACATACATACATACATACATACATACATACATACATACATACATACATACATACATACATACATACATACATACATACATACATACATACATACATACATACATACATACATACATACATACATACATACATACATACATACATACATACATACATACATACATACATACATACATTACATACATTACATACATACATACATACATACATACATACATACATACATTACATACATACATACATACATACATACATACATTACATACATACATACATACATACATACATACATACATACATACATACATACATACATACATACATACATACATACATACATACATACATACATACATACATACATACATACATACATACATACATACATACATACATACATACATACATACATTACATACATACATACATACATACATACATACATACATACATACATACATACATACATACATACATACATACATACATTACATACATTACATACATACATACATACATACATACATACATACATACATACATACACATACATACATACATACATACATACATACATACATACATACATACATACATACATACATACATACATACATACATACATACATACATACATACATACATACATACATACATACATACATACATACATACATACATACATACATACATACATACATACATACATACATACATACATACATACATACATACATACATACATACATACATACATACATACATACATACATACATACATACATACATACATACATACATACATACATACATACATACATACATACATACATACATACATACATACATACATACATACATACATACATACATGCACAAAAGCATATACATACAGACGTAGGAACACAAGAAAGGCAAGCGATCAAAAAAGCGGGCGCACGGACAGGCACATAGGCAGGATAAAGAAAAAACAAAAAAACAGTCACACAGGAAGGCAAGCTAACAAACGGGCAGGCAGGCGGGCAGGCAGGCAGGCAGGCAGCTAGGAAGACAAAAGGCCAGCCGGCAAAAATAGGGGAGGGGTCGTGCCCGGGCGGGAGGGGTCCCGGAAGCACCGACAAAAATCAGCAAAACGGGCCACACAAAGCGGCATCACAAACACAGGAATCCCTCATCCCCGCGTCTCCGCATCACCCAAACCGGCACAAACGTGCAAAACCCAGAAACAGAAAACAGCCCGAAGTAAGGCCGGAGCGGTACCTGGGAGCACCGTTCGGGTTGGACAAAAACACTGAAAAACACCTCCGGGAGCCCTCAAAACAAAAAAGCTCAAAAAATGACTGCGGCAACTCACTTTACGTGGGTCGGGAGTTACAGCCACCCGAAGCCTATGTAAAAACCAAATGCATCACCAGCGCACCAACATCATTATCACCCCCCATCAACCCCCCCTGCCAGAACAGAGGAGAACATAAGTCCCCCCAAGAAAAACGAAACACTGCCAACAGCAGCCCGAGTATCCACAGACCCCGGGGTCTACCTAGTACTTCCAAAGGCAGCCCGGGTATCCGCAGACCCCGGGGTCTGCCTCACAAACCAACATACAGGAAAGTCCCCCCCCAAAAAAAGGTAGCAGTACCAAAGGCAGCCCCAGCATCCGCGACCCCGGAATCTACCTCACAAACCAGCATACAGGGAAGGCCTCGCAAAAAAGAAAAGAAACACCCCGAGCCTCCGCAGACCGGGGCAGCCCGAGCATCCGCAGACCCCGGGGTCTACCACAGAGACCAGCATACAGGCAAGTCCCCAAACAAAAAAAAGAACCGCTACCAAAAGGCAGCGGCCGACATACCGGAATGTCCAAAAAAAGGCAAAGGAACGCTGCCCAAAAAGGAAACGAGAGCCTACTAAAGCCAGCCAAAGCATCCACAGACCTCGAAGGGACAGTGACCCCGCGGGGGCGGCGGCACCGGGCGGCAGCCCTTAAATGAAATGTCAAATTAGGGGGCCTGACTACACCGTGGGTTTGATTGCCGGCAAACTCGTTGAACAAGAGACATGTACGAAAACATGACTTTGAGGAAGCTGGACACGCTGGATTCTCGAGAGCTGAAGAAGGCACCAAAGATCCAAGGACCGGCTTGGCTACCTTCCTCTCCTTTCTCTCTTTCTTTTTCTCCCTTGTCTTTGTTCCAGGTGCATTTAATATATTGTTGGGCCACCTGTGTGTCTTTGTTCCAGGTGCATGTTTAAATCTTAGATTTACATTATCCCTTTAACCCCTCCCCCCTTCAACGGAGACAATCTCCAAAGCCCAAAGTGTGCTAGTCCCCAGAACCACCCCAGCGATTTCTGTAGTTTCCAGTGGCTTTCCCCTTCAACCCTCCAAAATCAAAAGCAAGACACACGCGCTTCAGTCACGCACACACACTCGCACATGCGAATTTGTTGCGACACCTGGAAGCCCTCGCCTTTATCTCAAGGATGCCAATCTCCTGGCAGAAAGGGTCAGGGGGATCGCACACGGTGTTGCTCTTGTCGATGTTCAGGCGGATAGCATTGGCGCTCCTTCGAGTTTGGCAGACATAAGCCAGGAGAGTGTTTTTGCCTTTCCTTTAAACCGACCTGGAAAGAGCACCGTACACTCAAGGCTGATGAGTGGTCGCGACCTCTCATGCTTCTTTTGAAAGACCATAGCAAGATAAGCTGGACCACTGAGTGTGGGAGTTGTGTAGCTGGGATGTGTTTGTTTTCTTTTCTTCTTCCGGGGAGCAGGGATTAAACGAGCGGTGCCCCCAATAAAAGAAAACACACACACGCACACATTGCGGTTTACTTCTGCCAAAGCCCCTGAAAACAACTTGCGGCATGAAGGCATGCCTCAGCGAAGCTCTTCCTAAGTGAGCTACAAACAAATGAGACACACACACACACACACACGCAAACTTTGAAATACCAGCTCTGGCTTAACCGAGGCCCGGGTGCTTCTTGAATTTGGGGTTGGTTTCCTCTTGGTGTCGGCTGGCAAACCCTGCAAATTTATCCAAAGAATTCAAAGCGCGTTGCGTACATATTTTGGGCACAGACTTCCAACTCAATGCGTCAGAGCGAAAATCGATTCCTTCTTCAGACTGTTGGACCACAATCCCACCCTTCGCAAAGCCATCGGCACATGGGGGGTCTAGATTGTCAGGGACCCTGTTTTGGACAGCCCCATGTAATCCAAACGGAAACCCGCGGCTAATCCCCTTAGTGTCTCCAGAATGTTCAGATCCTTCCCACGAGCGTACCTTACTGAGCAGCACTAAAACGTGCAAACCCCTTTGTAACATATACTTCCCCTCCGAAAGGTGCACCAACAGTGGATCCGTCTGGGGTCTTCCAGAGTTCCATCGCCTGAAAGAAGGGATCCCCAAGCAAGGGAGCCTCATGGATTCGCGCAGGGCTCGCCTTTTGAGAGCTCAGTGTGCCCCACTAAGATGGAAGTGCACGAGGGCTGCTTGAAAAAAACGTCTATTTTCAGTGACAAAAATAGACCAGGGGATGCCAGGGCAACTCCAAGAGGACTGTAGTCTCAAAACCATGAGAAAACAACATAGCTGCCACCGTTCAAAAGGACGTTCCGGATGCCCCCCTCTGTGCCGGCCAAGTAACCGCATGCCGGCCCAGTCCTGAGCAAACAAAAATGGACGCGGCAACGAGTGCAGGGATGAGCGACTTGACCCATCACCCTTAGGCGCTATGTTCAGCCGCCACTTTTGCCCAACACATGCAGAAATTAATCCCCGTTCCTCCGTGGCTCAATTTAGTACTTGTGTTGCCGTCGGGCTTCCCGTTCATACCAGTCGACACCGGTGCTCAGATGAGCAGCTTTCAACACTCAGCACAGTTGGTCCTATCAAGATGCTGATCAAAGGCGTGTCTCCCCAATCATAACCATTTCCATTGGACACGTATATGGGGACACAAAAACAACTTCCGCAACTAGACGTTACATAGTCCCTCACTATCATTCTCCGTATCTTCCGCATTCTCTTCAGGGATCCTTCTCTTCAGAACGCAGTCCGAAACTCAATCAACATGTGTGGTTCCTGAACCAGCATGGGCACAACCCCTTGTTTCAACATATTCAAACACCCCTTGCTGAAACCAAATTTGCCCCACCCTAGAATCAACCCTCATAATTCACACCCCGAAAATAGACAACCCCATACCAGAAATAGCCAAAGCCAGGCTTTGGCGGTGAACAGTGAACTCTTGAAATCAGAGTCGCTGCCAGCCAGGAGTCCCCACCCTTTCCACCCGTCCCTCCACTATTGACAAGGGCTCTTTGGAAAGGAACACGAACAATCGTCTGCAGCTAAAACATAAATGCTCTACTGATTCAGGGAACTTCTTTTTGGGAAAACACGCACTACGGCTATCTATAACGGCAGTCCTCTTTAGGGAAAACCGCCAACCAACGGGGTGCTAAGCGGTTGTGCGGCAACCGCTCTGTGTCACTTCCCTTTCGCGGGATCGTTCGTACGACTTCTGCACTTGCAAAGGGAGCTTGTACGGGTGGTTTCAAAACAGTATACCAGGCGCTTTGTTCAAGTTATCGCAATACCTTTCGCTGCTTTAAAACAAAGCAAAGCTGGAACACAAGAAACTTCCTCGCACATATTTACCATTGCAGGGGTTTTGATAAAGCTGCACATTCTTCTTAGAGAAGAAGGATTGGTGTTCTTTGTTTCGCCCCAGCCCCCTTCCCGTAAGGGACCAGGCTACTTTGGAAAGACGGCAATATTTGCTTCACCCCCAAAGGCTTCGCGTAAATATCATTTCAAAGGGCGCGTAACGTGGCCACCCAGCAAAGAAGAGCTGTTCTTCAAACAGTCCCCCCCGAGCAAAAAATGAAAAACAAAATGGTGCACCCGCGATATCCTAAAGTGGGCTCCAGGTGGCCTCGTAACCCCCAGTGAACATCCCAATCCAACCACTAAACAAGGTTCTAAAATGGGTGGTGAATTCGCCTACCAACCAAAATGGGATCCCAAAACGGTTTTGACCACCGCCATATCCGTAAGTTGGGCTCCAGGTGCGGTGATCAGCTCCATGTAGTCCGTCCACTGCGCCAGCATCAGCCACTCCTGGTTCATCTGCCGCTCCAATGTGAGGTCCCCCGGCGGGAAGCGCCATCTCGAGGAAAGAAACCACGGGGATTTGCCAGGGGAAGAGACTTGTTTGTGTGGTTCGTGCCAGCCGGGGGCGACCGCTTTGCCCTTGGGACTGGGGGAATTCTTCTATCTCTGTCTTGTTGGTTAGTTTGGGCCTGTTTAATTCCGCCCGAAACTCGGTTTCAAACCAAAAGCCCTGCTTCTGAACAAGCACAAATCTGGTGTCCGCGGATTTTTCGGGGATGCTTCCAGCAAAATGGGGTGGTGCACCACCCCAAAATGGGATCCCATTGTTCACCCACAGCCATGTTGGAACCCGTCTAGTTTCCCCCAGTGCGGCCGAGGCGCACCACCACGATCCGGCCAACCGGGTGACCCTGACCGAGAAAACAACGAGCGAGAGCTTTGCTCAGAGGATCCGTGGGTTTGTTGCTTGGTTGTTTCTCCGTGGTTTTCCGCTCACCCAGTTGCATCTTTGGAGTCTTCCCCACAAAACTGAGATGCTTGCCGCTGCCCTGCCAAAAGTGAATACCCATTTGTTGGCAAAAGTCTTCCAGTCGCAACATCCCTTGGCAAAATGCCGATCCAAAGGTTGGACTTTCTATCCCTGGTCCCCGTTGGTTCCAGAGGCTTCAACTTCGCGATTTAGCGCCAGCCCCAAAGGTGGTGACCTTGGATCTCGCTTTCAACCCCAGTAGGAAGCATCGGGTTGGGCTGCTGCAACCAACTGTTGACTCCTGCAGCTTTACTTTTACTAAAAATATGACCAGAAAGAAAGGAACGATATGTATAAAACTATCTATGTCTCTAATATTGTCTTAAATTATTATTTTTTAGTTACAGTCTATCATTACCACTTCTTCTGGATTCTTTCGTATGGACTGCCAACACCTTCCTGGCTCAAAAGAAACCAGAGGGAAGGCAAAGGCCCTTGACGACTTTCGAAGGCTGGGTCTTTCAAAAGACGAAAGCTAAATGACATCAAGAGCTAAAGCTTCCGGCGCACGCCCGGACGTGGACGCCTGTGGAGGCACCCCCGGCACCGGCGCGATGGGGTCCAGCTGCACGATGATCCAGGCCTGCGGAGAGCCTGGCGGCTTAGGCGGAAGCTTTTGGCCGCTGGAATCCGCCGGTCTTGACTAGGTCCTCCAGTAGAGAGGTTAGAATAAGGGTACCCCTTTTTTGTGTAGTCTATTTTAGTAGGGGGACCTAGTTGAGGTTTTGGAGGTGGTGGCTTTTCGTGGTTTCCAACCTCATTTCGGGGAAGGGTTGGATTTTTTGGGGGAAATGGATTCCTTTCGGGCGAGGTGTTCGAAGGCAAACCCCCGGGCCTGCACCATTTTGCAGACAAATCGCCTCTCAAGCTGCTCTCAAAGAACCCTCATTGGACGGGGTTGGGATCTCAGGGTGAGGGGCCCTTTTGCAGTTCCAAAGACTTTGGTGGAAGGAGTGCCCGGAAAACGTTCCGTGAGAACGCGCCTGTTAACCCTTCTCCCTTGAGGAAACAAAAGAATTGGACCGTACCACAAGATCCGTTTCTTGGCTGGTAGAGTCTTGAGGTTTCTCAGCGGGTTCTTCAGACCGCCATGACTCACGACCCCACGGAGATTTGTAACATCCGAGTCACAAAGGTCCGCATCAGACTTTACTCAAATTGATTTTAGACTCAAATTAACTTTAGACCAATGCCTCCGACTCCGGTGTCTGTTTCAACCAGGACTCAAGTCCTGTTTGGTTTCTGTTTCAACCACTTGCCTGTTTGACCGTTGAGAACAACACCCGTTTGTGTCTCGACGAAATGGGCAGCTGGTCCAAAATCTGAACATGCGAGTCACTGGGGAATGCATGGGGCTCGCCGCAAATTCGTTGTTTCTACCCCAGATCCGTCTGCCAACTGGGGGAAACAAGACGCACATCCAGAGAGGTCCTGCCCTTGTAGACAGCCCGTGTATTTGTCCGTTAAGGTCATGTTTCGAGTTGTACTCTGTCATAGAGTGCGTATGCCGTCATATGCCATTGTTTGTTTCACAATTGGTCACCAGCAAAAAAGATGTGTCCAAGTCCAAACTCCACAAGGACATCGCCTTCCCACAAAAGCAGTGGTCCGAATTTAAATTAGACCCTTGCCAACAATAGCGGTGTCACTGGTGATGCCCCTCTAAATCCGACCCAATACGCAAAACAATGCCCTACAAAAACACACTCACATCTACATGTGTTCAACTCTGAACCATCTGCCTTCGATGTCCAACTTTCCATCCAGTGAGGTGATGCAACTCATGGCCAAGCCAAGCCTGGTTGAAGCTTCGAGCTCACTTCTGGACCAACATCAGCAAACCAAAAGGTGAACGTCTCAGCTTCAGACAAAGAAGGGTCTGGTGATGGGCGGATGCCGAAGCTGGACCTTGCCTCTCCATGTCAAAACGTGACCATTATCCATCTACAAATGGCAGAATTCATGGTTTGGGTTTTGCATCTTGGGACCTCAAAAAAGCCCCTCTAATTAACCCTTGTGGAGATCCCCGAAACGTCCAGAAGGTCCTTTCTGCTTAGGAACTTGCCAAAAAGAACAACAACCATCGGCACCTTCGGCAGGATACCAGTAGGTGCCCCTCTCATTGCCATCCACCGCCTCGGACAAAGGGATTGCATGCGCAGAGCCAAAGGACGCTTCGGGCTAGCCCACGGCTTCCTTTTTTTGTTGGCCACCGTTTTCGTTAGTCACAGCCCATCACAAGGTCATTTTCTTCTAGGTCCTTGAGCAGAGAGGTTAGAGTAAGGGTACCCCTTTTTCTGTAGTCTATTTTAGTAGGGGAACCCACCCCCAAAAAGGGTAAAAGGGCACTGCTGGGGGACCTCTTGGTGTTTTCTCGGCGTTCTCTCCAATCTTCCAGCCGTTTGATTTTCGCATCATCCAGCCGTCTCTCAAACGCCGGGGCCCTGGAAGAGGCCTTTGGCTTGGTGAAAAGACTTTAGACTTTCCTGGCGAAAAAAAAACAAATAAAACAAAAAAGCCACCTGGTCAGGGCACAAAAATAGGCACCACCAGCACACCCCAGTTGCTTGGTATTGAAAGGGAAGCCTTTAAACCACAAACACACCCGAAACGCCTTGCTTGCTTGAGGGATTTGTTTTCCTGGAGGTGTGCTCACCGGTGACCTTTGGGCTAACGGACTGAAACAAACAAAAGCACACCCCTGTTAAGCGGGCCTTTTTGAGGTTCCCTTAGGCAAAAGCAGATCACCTGATCACCTGGTGAGGAAATGATCGGTCAAAGCAACTTTTGAGCTGATTTGCCATGGGCAGTCTGAGGATGCCCCTCTCCCTGTCATGGTCGAGCTTCGTTAAGCCCGTACGTCCTTCGCTCGCTCAGCCCCCCCCCCCCGCCCAAGTCACCGCCCACAAGCCAAGCTGCATTACTCGCAAGGTTGCCTGCATGAACGCGCGGGCAGGAAAATAGGAGGGAAACAAATAGGAAAGCCTTCAAAGGACACCACCAGTGGGGGTTCCCGATTTAGCAACTATGTCAAATCACTGATAACTAACACTGTAGGTCACTCAGCTGCTTGCTTCTCCATTGGCACTAAAGCAACTGATCGCCCTAAGCCGGTTAATCCGGGATGGGCAAGAAATGCGCAAAAGAAATGGGTTGTTGATAAGTATGTATCTATATATATATACACATGTGTTTTTTTTATGTATACAAACACCCAGTCTTTTTTTACAATAATAATAAAGCACACATTTCCCTGGTGCTTGGCAAACCTTGCAGTACTCCTCTCCCTCTTTTTTTCTGGGCCGTTTACCGTCTTTGCCCTGCACCCGGAAACAATCACACATCTGAGGCTGGCTATTTTCCTATCTCCAATTTGGATTTGGTTGATACGGATCGAACAATGGGGTCAAAGTACAGCTACTGTGGATGGACGAAATCCTGCACCACTTTGAAACCATGCGAAACCATTTTTTGTTGGTATTTACAGGGGAATCATATTGCCAGGGTTTCTTAGGTGGTGCAGGATTTCGTCCATCCACAGTATTATCGGGTTGTTGAAGCACCTGTTTGATGTTTTCTTTATGTTTGAGGGAAAGCCAACCATCGGTCCATCTTCCATGCCTGACGCTTGGCTCGGTTCAACCTCAAGTTCATGGCCGCGTCGGTCGTACCCTTGTTTTAGGATGTCATGTTCGCAAGGAACTTGAAAATAAAGATCACTCCTGTAGGGCCTTGACTTTCGATTGGAGCACAACTGAAACCAGAGGTAAATATGGTAGATCCACTGGAGTGAGAGAACACATTTGAGCTGACAAACATGATGGACTAGCCGGGGTTCACCCAAAACTGATACCCAACCTGCAAAACGATGTGACAAGAACCACCAAAAACCAATACGCAACCTGCAACATGGATGGCCAAAGAACCACCCAAATCGATACTCTTGCAACACAATGATTAATCTGGACAAATCACTATCATGTTTGAACCATAGAGGACCCCTATTGAAGACCTTCGTCGTAAGTTCCTGTAACCCCAGCTGTCGCTAAAATTTGTCCAGATATGCCATCCAAACTCAGGCTGAGTTGCCGAGGATCGTCTCCTCGCTGGGGATGACCTGACGAAAGTGTTCCTTTTCATCCATCGACCCATGTTCTCCTTGGAAAACTCACCATTTGTAGGGGTGCCTTTTGGATGGACGCGCTTCCTACATGGAAGCTATGGAAGCTGACACAAAAGGTTTTGGAAGACTGCTTTCCTTCTGGGGCGGCCCACTGTCCACTTCCAGAATTGTTGGAAA